CGCTAAGGGGAATTAGCTGCATTTGATCATGGAAGCTAACCTCATCATCTTGGTGTCTGAGGTACACATGGTAGCATGCTGGGAGGGGAGGAGTATAACTGGCACAGAACACCATCACCAGAATCAAGCTATTAAGCTGATTCTGAAGGAATTATGTATCAGTCCCACATTGTGAAAAATTGATGTGCTAGGTTTGCAAACCAATGCATGGGCCATCCTATGATATTGGCATTCTGCTTCAGATGTACAGAGGCCACCTCAATCCAGCACACCAAGTAGAGGATACCCATCTCTACCACAGACTGGTGATGAATGGCTTGGGACAATTTTCAAAGGCAGAACACAGATAACAACTGACTTCCATCAAATCAAGCATACTGACAAGTCAAAGGCCCTGAGAGGCTGCACCATACTGGTCCCTTGCAGCTGTGCCCAATTCTCTCACAATGGCATTCACAGCCTGCACAAGGTACCTATCAAGGGTGGGATTGAACAGTGTGTCACTGGGAGTGGTGTTTCCATGATAGTGAGATACCACAGCATGTAAGGCACACAGGACTAAAATTATCAATGTCAAAGGTGTATCAGATTAAGCTCATGCCCATACCTTGATCACATTGCAGAACAGGTGCCAATCCCCATTGTTCCATTTGAAGAGATTGCTGTGCAGATGGAAGTTCACCTACATAATCAATGGATATCACTGATCACATGAATAGAACCAAATAAATGCTCACCATTGCATATTTCTTCAAAAAGATCCCTCATCTCAGATTGTTTGGGCTTCTTTGAATGGAGGGGCTTTTTCAACCAATCTTGTATTAGCTACAAGGGTGCTCTGAATTGTGAGCATCCAAATCAGAACTTTTAGAGCATACCTTGCACTTGGTCTGGACTTTGCTCCCTCTCAACTCCTTTTTCCTGTCCAACTGCTGTATCTCCTCCCATATGGATAGCAGAACTGCAGGCTTCTTCTTCTTCCCTGCTTGCCTCCATTCCTGGTGTTGGCACCCAAGGATCTCCAACTCTTCCACTTCAAACATTTCTTCCTCCCTTTCCCCCATATCTGATGGTTCTATGTCTCACTCACCATCAGCATCATCTCTTTCTGTCTGATCCCAGGCATCTGATTCATACTGGGACTCCATGGAGTATGATGTGGTATGATGTATAATGGTGTATAATAGATGGTTGGCTACTAAGTTTTTTTGCACCCTTGTTTGGTCTCAATGCATCTCAGTACAGGTGCAGCCATGCCAAGGAATTTGTTTGGACCTCCATGAAGCAACTGAAATATCCAATCAGGCTGATCTCTTTGACAGGATCCCACCCAAAGGCAGATTAGCTCCCAGTTTGCATCCAGGCTGTCAGTTGGCTTGCCCAATCATATCCATACTTATATTGATACCAAACATCTCATTTCACCTTCATCAGCTAATATAGCATCCAAATTCACCATCATAATCCAGGCAAAGCACCCAGGTAATGTTGCAGCAGGAAGGGAATGTGTGGGCAGGGATTGAGCAGTAATAAGAAGGCAGCACCATGCATTGTGCAAGGCCAGTGTAGTTGCATTTGTATTTATGCCCTGACATGTGTTAAGGTACTGACATCAATAGAGCTAAATGATAAAGTGACTTGCACTATCAGTAGCATTTCTAACAACTGACCTCATACTGTGAAATCAGCAACCTCCAGATGGCCAAGGGAAGCACTCAAAAGAGTATGAGAATGATTGGTCCTACCCCAGGCCATTGGGTGAAGCAGCTGGAAGTCAAGACTCAGAGAACTGGAGGTAGATATGGATCACGATTGGAAGAAGTTGCAATCATACAGCCAGATCCAACAACCCCTGTCCATTCTCCCTGATCCTCACCATCCAAGCATTCAAGGTCTCACTCCCACAAGTACTTTGATGCATGGGCAGATTCAGCCTTTGACAGACATGAAAGCATGAGCCCACCAGTCCAGCAACTGATGTTACCATGGAAAAAGGTATGCAGCAGTTTGCCAACCCAAAAGTGGATTTCACATGGTGTGTCAGACACAGAACAGTTACATTGGCAGATGGGTTCCATGGAAGGGGGAGTTCTTGAAGATACTCCTGGAGCTGGAAGCCTCCCCAGAGCCAAGGAACTGCACCTGGTGTGGCAATGATGGGGTATACAGATGTCCGGATTGCTTGCATCAGCCCCTATTCTGCACAGAATGTTGCTGGAAGAGTCATGAGAGCCTGCCTTTCCACAGGATCCAACAGTGGACAGGGGACTTCTATGAGGAATCCACCCTCCACATGGTGAGGGATCAGTTGGTTGCCCAGAATTACATTCACATCAAGACCCACAGACTGGTGTTCAGTTGCACCTAGGACATGGCAGAGCACCCTGTCCCCATGCGATTGCACAAGCCCAGAAAGCAGCAGGTGAACCTCTGCCCATGGATGATCAAGAATGGGAAGATGTGGAAGATATCAAAGAAAACCCAAAGCACCTCCATCCTCCAGCAGGGTCAAGATATCTCACCATCATGGATGTCACAGGTGTTCATTTCATTGTAGTGAATTGGTGTGAATGCAAGACTGCAGAAACCCAATACATACAGTTACTCAGAGACAAACTATTTCCCTCAATGTTCAAGAAGCCAAGCACTGCATTCACATTCATGGTTCTGGATGACTTCCTGAGGGACAACCTGGAATGTGGAACATCTGGTATGAACTATTACAGCAAGTTGTGTCAGATCACATCCAGTGTGTTTCCACACCTTGTTCCAGTAAGATTTGGTATTTTGGTTCCAAGTGTTGGAATGTCCGAAGGGTCAATCAGGATAGATACCATGAGCTTCTATGGGTTGCACAGAAATGGCAATACCTCAAGCTACTTAAATGGAATGGATTCCACAGGACAACCAGGTCAGCAGAGAAAGGTGGACTGGCATTATTTTGCACAGCATGCCCCCAGCCTGGAATAAATATTGATACCAATGAGGATTTGGACCAGTAAGCAGCTCCAACAATGCAATCCTCATATGCTGACCTTCTCCAGCTGGCAGTTCACCTGCACAGTAGTAATGGATGGAAACTTTAAAGTGGAACACATGCATGAGCAGGAATCTGAAGATCAGGTGTGGTTGATGGACGGACTAGGTTATATGGTGACCAATCCACACTACACAGATTATTTGAAGGCCACTCCACATATTGCAGAGGTATGAATTCATTCAACCCATGCAAAACATGATCTGAGCTCAGGCACAAAAATGCACCTGCAACAACCACAGAGCTATCAGTCAGGCAAACACAGCCTGGGGAAAGCTTCATGCAACTGGAATTGGGGCAACTGCATGTGCACAGGCAATGATGCTTTTATCCACATTGTGTTGTTGACTTCCAAAAAGGAGAAAGGTATGAGGTTGAATTGTCAATTTTGATGCCCACTGATGGTGCTGCAGACAGTTGAACATGGACTACTCTTTGGCAAATGCATTGGGATACAATATGGAAGGGATCAAACAAGTGGTTTGCTTCTACTAGACATTAACTGCTCCTACATGATGAATCTGCAGAAGTGTGTGGGTCAAAGTGAGATGATTGATATCCTGTTGTCACTTCAGATTATCCCTGGAATCAGCATATGGCATGTGCATGGGAACAAGAAGGAATGTTATGCATGGTATGCCCTGCTGTTCATCAAGGGGGCTGGATGGGTAGACAGAGAAATCATTGAAATGTTGTGGTCCATCCTTAACATGGCATCTGCATCTGCATGCAGGATGACCTCACCACATTGCCAAGAACTGCTGGATTTCCAGATGAATGATTCCAACTTCATGAAGATGATTCAGTTTGGTTAGTCTGAGGATCCACTTGCAGTGCACTCTCTGACATCCAAGATTAAGTGGATAGCCTATTGTGGAAGCTCAAAGTGGCTCAAGCAGCAGTGCCATTGGCAAGGCAGGCCTATATAAAGCTAGATGAAGCCTTGACTGGAGAGCAGTGAAACAGCTGGTGAATGCAAGAGATTTGTGCACTGCATGATTGTGTTGATGACCCATCTGTCATGGACATCTTCAAAGTTCAATTAAGGGCAGGTATGGCATCTGCCTTTTTGGATACATGCAAAATACTGACATATCACAAGAAGCACCAACAGTGTGTGCCATCGAACTAGCATTATTGGAGGAACCAAGACCCAGCAGAAGCCTACATGGAGCAGCTAGTTGGCTAGTGCATGGTTTATGCTTAGAAGAGGCCATAACATCACTTCACATGGACAGAAAGGATGTTGGGGAATGGGCATTGGAATTGAAAAAATTGGCTATGGCACACCATGCTGATCACATTGCATCTGAACAATCAGGTTTTATTGCAGATGCTGTGATTTACTTGTAGCTGCACCTTGAAGTGGGCTCCAACACTTCCACCAGCAAATCTGTACAGCAGACTGCATTTCTTGATGCAAATTCAGAGCAGGATTATGCTTCAGATGATGGTTGGCTGGATGATGTGGGGGATGAGTTGCCTGCTTCAGATGGAACCCTGGCAGGACTGCAGGACAAATTGCCACTTCCATCTGCTCTTGGCATTGACACATGTCAAGCTCAAGGGCTTCAAAATCTTGCAGAAATGGAGCTGAAGCTTTGCACAGGTCAAGCTAATGATGTGCTACATGGCCTCCATCTTACATTGGCAGACAAGGTGGCTGTCTTTCAGGGGGTGGTGCACACAGCTACAAGCTATTCTATGAAAACTTGGGCCTGGGATATGATCCATGCTATCAATGTCTCAGTAAAAAAACAGGCCATGATTTATAATCAATGCAGAGATGCCATGGTTGTACTTGGCACAGGTGCAGATATCTTAGGACGTTATCAAGAGCTTCATAAAGAAGACCTGGCTGTGCAGACAGTGGCCTTCTCCCAAAATGCACAGGAGCACCACAGAACCCATCTTCCATGGTTTTGGTCAATCAACATCCTGTGGGACACAGAATCAAAGAGTTGGATGTCTGAATGTATGTTGACCTTACTGTTCAACAGTGCTTTAAGGTTGATGAACTTTCTTCAATTAGTTTATTGCATTCATTGGCTGTGAGCAAAATCCATCAAAGATCATTGGGAAGAAGAGGAAGAGCTCATAATATCAGAATTTCAATGGGCTATAAGTTTCTTCAGATTTCAAGCAAAAGAATGGCATAAGATACAGATGGGAAGCAGCACTATTGGAGCTCCTGGGGTGCAGTGTTATGCAGTGAGGCAGAGGATGATGTATTCAAGGTTGGCCAAGCATGCCAAATGCAAATGGCAGGCCATGAATGCAACTGATATTCAGTTTGTTCTGGAGAAAGATTTGTAGTTAAATGTTAGCTTAATGTGAACCTGCAGTTTCTGTTCCCTGCCCTTGCATTCTGCCCTGTAGCTGATGGGTGGGTCAGCAGGTACTTTGCAGGAGATGTCCAGTGGCAAGCTAGCCCATTCATTCACCTTTTGCATGTTTTATTTCCATTGTGGATATGTCTGGTATGACATGAGTATGTATATCATTTGTCTTGAAAGGCTCATGCATCTGCAGGCTGAGATGAATGGCAACAAGCCATTGTTGGGAAACAGAATATGTATTGCTCACTACAGAGGGTGAATTGGTCACTAGTGACTGGCTGAATGCCCTTGGTTGTATTTCCATCTGCTGAGAAATATTTATCTGCTCATTTGCCAAGCTTCCACCTATCAAAATACATTGGCTCCTGCAATAGCAGAATGCAATGTTTTCCCTGAATTGAACCTTGCAAATCTCACAATCCACTCATTTGCACATGTCCCACCTGTGGGCATGCCTTGGATCCTATGTTAGCACTTTGAGTCAAAGTGTGGTTCAGTGGTGAAAACCAACCAAAACCAACACAAAAGACAGAAAGAGTGAGTGGTGGTGTGCCTATGCAGTACCTAGATGGTCGAACCTGTGATTTGGGTGGGTTTTTGTGAGCTACTACACTCAAGGATGAGTGCTGAGGGTTGGGGGTGCTCCTGATGAAGAGGGAGCAAGAATGCAATAGAAAGCGATAGGGTAGACTGCTGTCAGCCTACAGAAGGATGGATGGTGACTTAATTTGATGTCCTAAGCTGCACTGAGCTCAGGGAGGGCTTGGAGTGAAGTATATTGATGATAGACAAGGATAAGTGAAGTAGACAATAGTTAGACCCTTAATAAAGTCTCAACTATCAAAGCTGCTGAATGAATTACTGAGTGATGATAAAATGTGAGCAAGAGGCACTCTCTGATGTCTTCTTCCTTTGCTATCTAAGTACAGTGATTTATATTCAGTACAGGGGTGTTGCCCTTGGAAAACAAGGTGCAAACACTTGGTAAGTGATTGGTAACTGATGAGTAAGGAATGTAAGTGATGGGTAATCATCTTGGAAAGCATTGGAAAGCATTGGTAAGGATTAGAAAGCCAAAAAGCAAAGAATCAGTAAGCAAAGTCAAAAGATTGGTAAGTATTGGCAATAGGTGAGTCAAAGACAGTCAGAATGTCAAAGTATGAGTCAAGTAATGTCAGGAACTGGGAAAGCACACTGGAATCACATTAGGGGGAGGCTGTGCATGTCACATCTTGAAGAGATTGCTTCTAGGCCAAGGTGGGATGACAGAGAGGCAGCACTGATCTGATGCCAATATAGTACATCCAAAAGTGGACAGGGTGAGTCAGATGTCAACAGGGGTCAAGCTTTGGGGGTCTGTGGGGTGACAGGAGCATAGGGGATTGCAACTTTCCCCCCCAAACCATCCTCTCAGTGAAGCAAATAAAAACTTCATGAATGAGGCTCTGTTGGAAGAGAGGATGAAGGGGGAGTGTCTTCTGCTGTATCTTGCAACAAGGAGGCAAGATGTGCATCATACTCATCATGGATGTGATCAGGGAGAGTGGAGCACAGTAGATTATACTGTAGCTGTTGCAATCTTGGACAAATGATGGACAAGACTGGTATGAAGACATTGCAGGGAGCAGGGAGGAAGGATCCATATGCTTCTTGGACTGGAGAGACTGAAATGACCACATAAGACCTTTCCAAGAAAATGACAGACCTGAGGCGACCAAAGAACATCCTCCTAGAGGTCATACTGAAGAAAAGAACATGCTGTCCAAGCACGATGGGCTGAGAGGGTGCAGATGAGGGTGGGATGTACCAGGATGCTTCAGGATGGAAGCTGGTAGGAATTCCTGGTAGATATATGTAGCCATGGTCCCTAGCAAAGGGGACAAGTGAAATGATTGACATGGAGGCAGCCATATCAGAAGAATTTAGCAAAATGAGCATCTTTTGGAGGGAGTGCTGTAGAAATGTGTGGAGTGTGCAAATCCTTTCCAATTTTGGAAGGTAGGATCACATGGCTGAGCACTACAAGCAAGTGTGGGAATGGTCTTGGTATCTGCAGAAATGGTGGAGATATGTCAAACACCAGAATGCCATACACAGGTGCTTAAGAATTTTAACCAGTGCTTAACTTGCTCCCTTTCTTTTTCTTTGGTGCTGATGACTCATTCTTGTGTGAGGGATGACTGCTGACATTTCTGGCTGTCCTTCTTCACATGAGGGCTATGGTCTTCATCTCCATTCATCAGCTGTATCCATGTCCACCTCACCAAACACCTTTGGTGTGTGACAGTGCAATGAGAATATTGCTTTGCATTTGCATCTGATGACCAATTGCTCCCAGCCTTGCATCTCACACAGTTGGCTCATTTTGAAGGGTTCCATCTATCAGGATCCATCAAATGCTGTGTTAGCAGGTCAAGACAGTCCATATCAACCTTGCATATTGTGCAGGTCACTCATTTGGAAGGGTTCCATCTATTGGGATCCATGGAATGCTGTTTTTGCAGGCTGACATCATTCTTTGCATTGTTATCCTATTATTAGCTGTTATCTTGTTTTGTAACTCTCAAGTGAACACTGTAAATAGCATAGCCTGCTCATTCACCAGGTGTCCATCTATTGGGATTCATCAGCAGCTGTATTAGCAGACTCAGGTGTGTTGGCCAAATCAGACAATCAATTGCATTTGTGTTGAATGGCAGGTTGCTATTGCATATTGCACAGTCCATTCATTTGCAAAGGTTCTGTCTATCAGGTTCCATCAGCTCCAGTTTTAGCAGAATGAGACCATCCCACTATCTCATTTTTTAAGTTTCAAGTTAACTATTCTACATCACAAAGCCATGCATTTGCTAAGCTTCCACCTATCAGGATACATTAGCAGTTGTTTTAGTAGAATGAGATTATCCTTCACAATTCTGATGGCTGTCTAGCCATTATTGTCTTTTTCTCACTCTTAAATAAAGGTTGAATATATGATGTGGCATGAGTGGTCAATTAAAATGGAAATACAAAATGACATTGTATGTACCATGGAGGAGTAAAATGATAGATGGCCTCATTCACCCTGCTGTCCTATCCACCCTTGTCTCATCTGCCAGAGGCCCTAAGAGATTGATGAGATTGTCACCCAATGCTTGTCCATATGCAAGCCATCCTATCCAGCATCTGCATGGTTTCATCCTGTTGTATTTAGAAATCATACATTTGATCCTCATAGTATTGGTGGTGGGCCTCAGTATCATGGAGTCAATGTTCCAAATCTTCAATTGTGTTGGATGTTTGTGACACCTCAGTGATTGGGGCACAGACAGGTGACAGTGTGCTGGGAGTTGCAGCAGTTGCAAGTTGGACAGGTGCTGCTGTTGTCAATGGGTGGGTGTCTGCTTTGAATACAAGGGTTAACCACAATAATTAGTGTAAATGTAGAGTGATTAAACATACCTGCTGCTGTAGATCCCTCTACCTCCTGCGCAATGGATGGGCCAGCCTCAATGATTGAATCCACTCATACAGTGGCTGGGATTGGGCAGGAATCCCTGCATTTGGATGCAGGAATATGAATCTCTAAATAAAATTTGAGTCAGTGTAAATACATGAAATTGTGAACATACTAAGTGAAGATCCCTTGGGGATCATCTCTCCCTGGTTGGAGGGCCCAACCCCAGCATTGATGGCTTTGGAAGCCATCAAAACGTGTTGCTTTGGGGGATGTTCCTTTGGGCTTTGGGATTCTTGGGCCTCCATCATCAGGGACAGACTTCGAGCTTGCTTTTTTCCCCTGGCTTGTGATGGATTCTGTCAAGTTGGAGTGGCAATCCCACCTTTGGCATGGCTACATCGAATTTTGCGACCATCACACAGGAAGCAGGACTTCCCAGGGTTCTTGTAGCATTGGATGTCACATCTGTGGCACAACTTGCAGGAATGGGGGTTGGGGGAAGGCATCCTTCTGGCAGCTACAGCAGCATGACCATATGGTCCATCCAATGGTGGATGAGGCTTGCATTTTGATTGGCCTTGAGCAGGAATGTCTTCATCATCATTGGTTTCCACTGTTGCCTTCCTAGAGTGGGATTGATGTCTGGATCAATGGGACATTGTTTTCATGGCAGCTTTGTGCTTCTGCCTGCCTTGTGCTGGTTCTTCCTTGTCATCCTCCTTCTCTGGCACCTCATCTTCACCCTCATCATCCACCTCCATCCTGTGTGAGCTATCTGATGTCATTTGCTCCACCTCTTCCTTGGTCACTTTCCATTTTCCTTTGTCACTCATTGGCATTTCAGTCTCTTGAGTGGGTGGTGTTGGTGTTGGCACCATGTGGGGCATAGGGAGGCCCAACTGGTGGTAGTTGTATTGATGCTCAATGATGTCAAGCCACTTGTGGTTGGTGATGTCAGTTTTGGAAGGGGATAGGGCAGTCTTCCACTCAGGCCATGGGTGCTTGATTGAGCTGAGGTCTTCATGCCACTTTAAGAATGTGTCGATGCTGATGAGGGTCATTGGAATCTCATCCATCCTAGTGATGAGGTTGCATACAGTGTCCTGAATGCATCAGTTAGTGAAAAAAATGTGATGATGCTATGATGCACTAGTTCATCATTTATTACCTTGATGGCACCTCTCCACTTCGCAATCTTGTCCATCTTTCCCAGCTTGCTGCTTTCCATGATATCCTTGAAGTAAATTTGAAGGATGCAGTTGGTCACAGCATTGAGCTCAGGTGATTTCTTGAAGAGCTTGTGAGACAATGATGACAACATGTTTCTGATGATGAGACAATGGAGTAGTTTGACAGTGAGGGTGGTGATGGTGATTGGAGAGTGGAAGAGTCAGAGGTTAAAGATGGATGATGAGATATGCAGATGTTGCATCTTTTATCCTGCCTATGAATGATTCCCACAGCATGAAGGCAATACTGGTACAAGTCAATAATCCTGAATGCATATATGAAGCAGAGCCTCAGATAAAAATATGATGCATTGTTCTGGAATAGCATTGCTGTTTGTTTTGTGTGTTTCCCATCTGCTCCAATGGCAGAGCCTGGCTCGCAGCTACATAGATCAGTGCCTGAGATTCCAACTAAATAGGCAAATTGTCCAACATGAAACACAATTTATAGTGGGAAATCCCTCGGGCCTGTCCATGTGTACTGGCTAATCTATTTAGGTGGGCCTGTCTCAGGGTCTATAGAAGTGTTGGTGTTTTGGTGCACAGGCTGCCCATGTGTTGTGACTAAATGTGACTACACTATGTGTACAAGGGGTGCAGGATGTAAGTGTCCATGGAGAGAACATGGATGTAGAGCATGCCCTTGCTCCAGAAGATGGACATTAGTATGCACTCAGTATAACATGGTTCTTTTTGTCTGCTTGCACACTGTGAATGATGGGAAAAGAAAACTTTCCCTCAGTAAGATCTTCCATGAAGCCTTTGTTGTTTGAGTACTAAATTGGGGGGGAGGCCAAGGGCCATGAGTCAGTTGTTAGCAGTCATAGAGTAAGGGATGCACCTCTGTGCTCTGAAGGTTCATGTAGTCATCACAGATCTGGAAGTACACTCCGAAAAGGTTCACCTAAGGCTCATAGTCACTTTAACCAGTCAAAAAAGTTGGCACTGATTCATACAATCAGTACATGATCAATAACTGAGAGGGCTTACACATTACTGTTGGTTGTTGCACAAGCTATCATGAGTTTGATGGCAATTCTGAACAAACCACCAGTCTCTAGCACATAAACTTCAGCATGATGACACTATGGAAGAAAACTAAATCCTCAACTGTTGTTGACCATGGAGATATGGATATGCTCCTGCTCTGTTGGGCATTGCAATGAATCCCTCCCAAAGATCTTGAGACCCTGTCCTCGATGAAATCCAGGCAACTCTTCCATCATAATGAGGTCCAAGTCCTTATTTGCCACTACCCTGACTTTGTCACCCTTGGGGTCATGGTTCCTTAATATCACCAACTCCTTTTACACCAAGAAATACACATACATGGCAATGCAAGTCAGATGGCCACAGGTTGAACCCACCCCTTTTAACTGTGATTTCAAAGTCAGATAAATGTGAATCAAATGCTCTCATAGCTACTGGATTGCCATGACTGGCACAAGCATAATACTAGGACTTGTGTTTACCATGATAGGTGTAACTTGATAGCACAAGCTGATAGATGTCTGATAAAGAAAACCAAGTTCATCCTGGGTTTGAATCCTGGGCAACCCAGGTACAGCCTCCCAGATGGAGTATCCTAATACTGATAGCAACCTATGCACATTGTGCCATCTCACACAGATAGTGTGTACATCCCATCCACCATTCAACTTGCAGATCAAACCTGCATTGTCTGGATTTCATCCAGCAATCATCTGCACATCACCCAGGCCAGCAAGGAGGCCACCAAATACCCTTGTGTGTATCAGTGGTGCATATGTGCATCTAATCTACTTTTTGACTTGGAGATTGAACCTGCATTATCTGACATTCATCCAGCAGTCATCCAGACATCATCCACAGTATATCCTGCAAGACAGCTGACAAACATCAGTGCATACACCTGTTGGGCTTTGGCACCAGGATCTGTGTACTGTAGATTGGGTAAGCATTGCTTATCATGATTACTACATCTCTGGGCCCACAACAACTTGACAGGCCCCTCCTGATCACAATATTATTGGCACCTACCTACACTTAAGTGTTGGAAACATCTAATAGTTCCAACAGTCTAGATGACTCTAGATTTACACATTTTGATACATGTGTAGAATCATGTGACATGCTCAGTCATACAGCTCCACAATGACATCACTATGACATTCTCTGCTGTTCTTTACTATACATAGTAGTTACTTTCCTTATATGCTACTGCTCTGTGTGTACCTCTACATGTGTATAAACTTGGGGATTTCTGCTGTACTCCCCATCATTCCACCTACAGAACAATCTACGTGTTCTATCAAGCCCCCACTCTACTCAGAACTACTACTTCAAATCTACCAAGCCCAACTAGCTGTAAACAGGCATGTGTTCTGTCTGTGCTCTCATTCCCTTCCTGTTCCTGTGCACAATAGGTTATGAGCCCTGCCTTCTAGGCATGGTGCAATTTACTTGATTTGCATAGTGTGATCACTGCCAATGGGTACATCCCTATGAATTGAGTAGGCCTAGATGTGCCTGGTTGGGCTGTAGTTACTTTCATGTTGTCACTTCTTGTGGGCTGTTACCAGTCCATTTTACTTGTTTATTATGGAGGGTTTGGTGTAGGCAAACTCCACAGGCTATTTGTTGCTTTGTCAACATTCTGGATACTAGCACTCAGTTTACTGACATGGATGCGACTTTATCAAAGCTATGTCACTAGAGTTGAGCAACAAGAGCTCCTTGCCATGTTTGATGCTCTCAGAGAACAACACTGTATTCTCTGATTTAACTGTATGCTTCCACCACCACCACCCCACTACTTACATTTCCATCTTCACAATATTGACCATGAGCCAGATTTAGATCCCATACCTGCATATACAGTTGAAGGTGCAGTTGACCCTGCTCCTCCCTGATGCATGCCAACTCCAGATCATCTGGAGATCAGGGAGTTGAACAATATTCTTGCTGAGGATTTTGCCAATGGTGGCAACCTCATCACTGAGAATCTCAATCTCACAGTTGATCCAGACCTTGCTGAGTTTGATTTACTCTAAAATCATTCATCCTGATTATCAAAAATACAGGAATTAATCTATTTATCAAGAATGTCTCTTGTCATCACTAAATGTACTGAAACTCAAATTGCTGAACATTGTGATGGAATGTATGAGGGAGCAAAGTGGAGGAAGTATGCTGTTAAAGAGATAATTGAGTATATGGAGATGGTTTATGTTAGAGACTGTGCTGGTTGGAGGCCATTCTGTCTTCCATGGCTTTCTTTAAAAAGCTGAATTCTGCAACTTACCTGGTTCCTCTATCCATTGTCAAAACCACCTGGGAACAGATGCCACATTTCCCTGGTTTTGATTCTCCCTTCTTTTGTCCTGGTATCCATGTTGCCTTTCATGGTTGCTTCACTGACTTTGTACCCAAACTGACTCATTCATCTTCTCCACATGCCGTTGCTCATTTCAACAGCTGTGACCTACCCAGCCTTACTTATGAAGATCCTTCACTATTAACTGTCCCCACATCAACAATCATGCATGACACCTTCATCTACATTACTTATAATGCCCATCTGGACTACTTATCCAGAAACTTCTGTGGGCTCATCCTACCTCTTCAGGTTTGGCATGAGTATCTTGAATGCCTTAACCAAGGAATTTGGGCTAACAGGACTGCTGACATCAGTGTCATGCCAAGATGGTTCCATCATAGATGAAGAAGCAGAGATGTGTTCGATAAGGAGCTCTATGAGTTCCTCTTGGAGTATAAAAGAGAAGCTGATTTGGGTAGTGTCATCAGATATGAGAACTCTCATTGACATCTTGGATGGACTGATGGAACTGGTAACCATCAATTCTCTTACTGGCCCTCTTTGGAGGACATTTGCAGGGACTTCAAACATGTCATGGCTGACACTTCTTTTGATTATTTCATGGAACCCAGACACTGCCTCACACCTTCCACAGCTCTTGCCAGAGCTTGCCAGTCTTGTGCCACTCATGCACAATTATCCTCTCCCCAGTACAATGGACATACCATATGCATCCAGAGGCTGATACCATGAGGAAATTGAGGAATGTGTTATAGATGAGTCATATAATGTTTTTGAAATCATTATTATTTCCAAATGTCCTGGTTTTCATAACATGGAATGTTTTCCTATCCCTTATTCTTGTGCTAATCCCTTTTGGGATTCACTACCAGTGGTCAGCCTTTGCATGACTGTCATTGGAGTTTCTTTGGGTGTCATTATTTTGAACCCTTAGAATTTGAACACCTTGAGTGCAATAACTCTTGAATCCCTCCACAGAGATTTGCTGAGAGAGGAATTCCTGTTACAAAAACTTGGTGTAATCCTTGTCCACATATCCCTAAACCTCAGAGTCAACACCATTCACAAGCTGCTAGAGCATCTGCTCGCAATGTGAAAACCAAAAATCATTTATTAAATCCCCAAATTTGACTCTACATCCGTCTCAATTGTTCTTATATGATCATCTAATACTGGACATTTATTAGAATGTCTGAAGGCCTTGGAAAACAAATCCCAAAACTTAAAAGCCTTAATTATGCCTCTTGGTCAGTTCTTATGAAAGCATACTTTCAAACCCTTGGCATCATGAATATCATTGATGGTACTAAACCAAAACCTGCAGATGTTGCACAGCAGGAACCCTGGGTTACTAGCGATCTTCATGCCCAAGGAATCATTACCTTATATTGTGATCCAATGATTGTAATGTCCATTGATGGCAAAGACACTTCAAAACTCAAATGGGATGAATTAAAGGCCAAATATGGCAATCCCTCTGCCATGACTACTTTCATGGAGTTCCAGAGGTTGATCCATATTCAAATCAAACCCAAGGATGATATCATGGTCAAAATCTCAGAATTGACTATGATCATGGCCACTATTCATGGCCAGGGTATTGGATTGAATGACAAAATGAAAGCCTTAATTCTGGTCCATTCTATGTCTCAAACCTGGGAACAGGCTCCTGTCAACATATTATCATCTATCACTGCTGGACAACTCTTGCCAGATACCATTATACCTAGGATGAAAGAAATCTGGGCACACAAGTCAAAAGACTTTGCTGCCTCAACAAGAAAGGGTATCAACATCAGGAACAACCATCAAGCAGGAGTCTAACTCACTCCTTGCTCATATGAATAAGCCCCCTCTCTGCAGTATTTGCAGGGGCTCTCATAACACTCAAGATCATAGAGGAGGAGGAAATAATGGATCAAACTGTGGTTGTGGTGGATGTGGATGTGGAGGTTTTCATTGTGGATGAGGAGGCTTTACTCCTTATCCACAACAACAGCCACAGCAGCAACAAGGTTCTTCGCAGAACTGCAGTAATAACCAAAACTGCCATCATGGAAAATGCAAGGGCAAAGCCCAATCCTCTGCCCTTGAAATAGAGGGTGAAGAAGCTGAAGTTGTTAACTTTGCTTCTATTGAACAAATTCCCGATGAGTATCCTCAGGATACTAATGAATATGCTGCTGAGGAATTCAATATTACTGCTATCAAACTTAATTGATAACCTTCCTGTGAACCATCTCCTGAATATTCTCCTGCACCTCCTGCAGTTGAGAATGTTTACACCAATGACCTTGAAACTTTTCTTGGATCTCATACTATAACCAAGGTCCAAGAATATGATCCAAACCTTACCCAACAAGACATTACCATGGCTATGGAAAATGTTGGGAACTCCCAAACTTATCCAGTAGATGGATCTACTGGAGAACTTTCCTCCTGGTTCCTGGATGAAATTCAGGGATCTTTCAATGATCAAGTTGAGTCAGTTGAAATTCATGTCAACATCCCACAATCTAATTTGCCTTGTACATGCACTATTTGTCAATGTGCACATGCAGCCACAGGTCCACTCCACATGGACTTACCCCTATGGGAACCATTACAATGGATGAGTGTGAACTCTTCACAGAGGACAATACCCTTTCCCTCTACTAGGGAGGACAGGGTATATCATCACAACTCCAGCAATGGAATGGCAGTTGCCAATGTGGTTAGCACAAATGTGGTACAGGCAGGGATTGTTGAGAGTAATGGCAATTTGGCTCTGCAGGGAGACCAAAATTTTAATAAGCCTCCCCAATGATTTCAAGGATGCCACCTTTTATCTCTAAAGGAATTTCATGACTCTGTACCTGATATTAAACCTGTAAAACCCCTTTGCTTTTCTTTCTTCCATAATCATCCTGATGTTGAGTATAATCCTAATGACTCTGCTGTGGGATATTTCCCTGGTGAGTTCAATTGCAATGCTTATGATGCTTATGACTGCTACCTTTTTGGTGTGCACACATCTTCTTTTAAGAACTTGCCAAAAGGTGAGTCAATTTGGATGTTGGATTCTGGAGCCTCACATAATGTGACTCCATTTAAAACTGATTACCTTTCTTTTTGAGAATTTTCTTCTCCAACCCAGGCCTCTACTGCTGGTTTGTTGAGAGTCCAAATTCTTGGAGAAGGAACAGTTGTTGTGTGCCTGGAAACAGGACACAATCTTACCCTTCATAATGTAGCCTATAGTCCCTTCTTCTTGAAGAGACTTTGTTCAAGAAATGCACTCCTTAAAAACAGGTATAGGAGTACTGCGACATTAACTCATGAAGTAATATGAGCACCAGATGGCCAGATTGTCCTTGAAGCAAAAATTGCTTCACTGACTTCACTGTTACATCGGTTTGTGGGCATACTGCTTCCACCTACCACTGCTTTTTTGGTCCTTTGCCCTCTGGTTAAATCATTATCGCTGGAACAACTCTGGCATAATCGATTAGGACACCTGGTGAATAATATCCTTTGTCACCTTTGCCAATTGTGTCTTCCTGCACTACATATACAGGGGGAGACTACTTCCTGTAAAGGGTGTGCTCAAGGGAAAATGTCTTCTGAGACATTTAAACCTTCCTACAAACAAGCCTTGAAACCACTTGAGTTGGTTCATGCCAACCTTCTTGAATTACCAGTGGAATCCTATTTCCACTCAAAATATGTCCTTACCTTATTGGATGACTATTCTTCTTTCAGCTTTTGCCTCTACCTTTGCAATAAATCTGATACCTATACTGCTTTTGCCAATTGGTTGGTGTCCACTCAAAATCAGACTGGCCACCATCTTCTTGTGCTCCATTGGGATTGAGGGGGAGAATTTATGGGACATACCTTCAAAGTGCTCCTCACTTCTTGAGGTGTTACCCATCAATTGTCAATCACTGATCAACCACAACAAAATGGTCATGCAGAACACTTTAATCGTACTATTCTTGAAAAAGCTGGTACAATTTGTCATCAAGCCTGCATTCCTAAATGCTTTTGGAATTTCACTTTTGATTGTGCACTTCATGTGTATAATTGAACTCCACTTAAGTGAATTCTCTTCAAGACTCCTGTGGAACTTTTCTTAGGAAAAGTACCCAATATTTCTTATTTCCACACCTTTGGCTGCAAAGCCTATGTATGGGTTCCTAAAGAACAAAGAAAAGACAAATTTTAACCACACACATTAGAAATGGTTTTTCTGGGTTATTAACCAAATACCAAAGGATATAGATTTCTCCATGGTGTAGGGAATGAGTTCAAGTTCCCTATGAGAATTTGTCTTGGTCAGGAGTTTAGGGGTTGAGGGACTTGTTTTGTTTCTTGCTTTTGTTTTCATGTTTGTACCACTGGACTTGGTGGCAAGCAGCTGCATTGCTGACTAAGTGTGTGTGCTGTGTTTGCATGAGTTCAGTTTACCAGAGAACCAATCCATGTCAGAGGCCCTCAGTAGTAGGGTGATATAGTCTCACATTTTGGCAAGTTTTTGAAGTTAGATTTATTACTTTGGGGAGTACCCAAGGTACCAGGAGGACTGGCAGAAGGTATTGCACAGGCAGAGCTAAGTATTCATTTCAGTTCGCATTTTTACACTCTTACTACACTTCTTTTCTCCAGAGAGAACCTCCCTTTTGGGTCAAGCACAAATCTTGCCCATGACTGATAATTACTAATTATAGGTTGCATTCTTTACCTATTCCTACATCTGGAGCCCACCACAAGGGGGGTTCTGTTCATTTTGGGGAAAGAAGCCACCTCCTTATCACTGCATGAAAATTTTTCTGGATTAAGTTGGACAAGCTAAGTGTTCACAATTTCAATTCTAGTTACAGTCTACACTCAGGAACTCTGGAATCTTCAGAATTAATTTTTCGAGCAGCAAATGTTGAGCAAGTGATGAAGTCAAAGATCCCTTGAGTTGAAAAGCAAATCTGAAGGAAAATTAATAGTCAAATTTTTGCAAAGAAGCCGTGAGAATGCGCCGAGAGAGCTCGAGGGAATGCCAATGAGGCACTTGAGGGATGCACCATGGTTCTTGGGGTGTGCATCTGACCTTTTTAGGTATTTCAAAGAGGTTTGAAGTCTTTGCAAGCACAAGAAATGCTTTGATGACCAAGAGTGGGCCAAGTGGGCTTGCTGGTATGCAGGCAGCGAAGTTTCCATCCCTTGGCTCCAGTCTGTAGAGGATTGGTTCAGTTGGCCTGAATTCATGGTGGCCATCACATGTTTGTATCCTGGGTCCCAGAAATTGGATCAGCAGCATTCAAAGGATGACCTTTACAGTCTTGTTGGCAGTTGAGCAAAGAGAGAAATTTGTACAGAGGAGGAACTAACAAATTACAAGCTTTATTTTCTTGATTTAGCAACATATCTATGGGTTTCGAGGCAACTTGAGGCTGATGAGCTTGAAGACCTCTATTTGCAAGGCTTCGAGAAAGAGTTTTGGTGCAAAATTGTTCGGAAAATGCGACATGATGATCAATGGCAACACTCTGATGACCCATGGCCCATGCAACAAGTAAAATTCACAGCTACAGGACTACTTTGGAAGGAATTTCACTTGGAGCAAGTGCAAGTATATTCTCATCAAGAGCAGCCTGAACCTGAGCTTACAAAGTTTTTTCCAGTTGATTCCACATATGACTCACTGATGGCTAGTCTACAAGACCTACAGAGCTACAGGAGTGTGTCCAGCATGAACAAAGGGTGATAGCAAAGCTGGAATGTCACACATGTGCAAAAAACCAGGCCAAGGCTCCCTTGGCACATTCAAGTCACACACAGCCACAGAGTCCATCTGAGAAGACAACAAGTGAAAAACTGAGCCCAAGTAACCTCAAGCAAGCAATGGCAACACTGTATTTTGAGATGAAGGAGTCTACTTTGAGTATGAGTGAACTACTGACTATGGAATTTCAGGAAGCAGCAAAGCTCGAGCAAGTTGAACCAGTGGTAGTGGAAGAACCACTCACAACAAAGTTGCCATTCAAATTTGAGACAAGTGATGGTGCTCAAAGGAGTTTTTCATTTTGTTCTCACTGAAATTCTCAACTAGCTGCTGATACTTTTGAGTTAAGATATCAAAGTCTTAAAGAAGACACTGTCAAAGCTCCCACAGTCAGCAGAGAAGTACAACAGATGGCAGATGAGTCACTCATATAAAAGATACCACTCAAGTTTGAAGCAGACAGACTCAAAGAACACATGAAGTCCACAGGAGTTGAAGATGAGGTTCTTGAAATGCTTGCAAGCAGTCTTGAAGTGGAAAGGTTGGTGTATGAAGAGATCATTGACTCACACAGAGTGCCACAGCACATAAATCATACTGAGACAAAGGTTATTGCAAGAAGGATCAAGATTGAGGAGCCATCAAGGCTCATCACACAAAGGAATCCACTGGAAGAGTCTTTACAGGTCGAAATGTTGAGGCACACAGCGAGGATAGATGCCCTCACACTCGAAATATTCTGTGGCCATGCAGTGTCAGCAATAAATGTTTTATTCAAGGATTCGTCGAGTGAATTGACACATGCACTTGATGTTGGGACCTGTACAGAAAGTCCAGCAGTGTTGACTAAGCAGAGTCACATGACTGCTCTGCATGTCATGGCCACATGCACTCAAGTACTTCATACTGATGCATCTAGTATTATAGGCTGACTACACAAGATCGCAGCAATCAAAGGATATGAAGAATGGGGAGAATGACATACCATATGCAAACTACTGTGGCTACAAGCAATGGCAACCACAGCAAGGATGACATCAGCAGTAACTCGAGTGACAGTGAAAATGACAACAACTTTACTTAGTGCAGGTTGACAACTGTACAAGATAGGAGATGCCATTCAGTGGAAATGGGGTGCGACAAGTGCAGGTACTGGGCTCGATGGCCCAAGGTTTTGTTTTGATTCCATAATGTCTTATTTACAATTACTCTATTCTAGGAAAAATGGATGTGTGAGATGATGCTCAAGCTACATCCAAGCAGCCATGATACAATGGACTGTGATGACCTATGAGGAAAGTCAGTGGGCTGTCGAAGAGAAGCTATGTGAAGCGATCTGAAAAAGCTACTATGAATGGGGCAAGCAGTCAGAACAAGCCAAAGGCTCAAAGGTGGTATTTTTCTTTTTGTCTAGTACAGCAGCTACAAGATATACAGCATGACAACTATGGCAACTACAAAATGTCTGAAGAGAGACATTCGAAGGGATTTTGTGGACTTACACCTGAGGGCAGCTACCAAGGGTAGCACAACAGCAAGTGTCAGAATTGCAGCAAGACACACAACATGCAAATAGTGTTGAAGCCACACTGGTTGGGCTTGATGGCCCAGAGTTTAGTCTTTTTGTTGAAGTGTTTTACTTACAGTTACCACATTTTAGGGAATACAAAGTTCTACAGGATGCAAGGTCATGTGAGGCTGGAAGAGCCATTCTGTGGAGACAAGGTGTGAGGAGCACAGGTTCTGGGCTCAATGGAGCAAAGGTTTGTTATGATTTCAGTATATTTTATGTACATCTGTTCTACTCTAGGGAAAACAACTGTATATGATGACATGCAGGCAACATCCAGGCAGCTGTGGTGCAAAGAATGACAACGACATCAATGATCGATGCAGACCGAAGGCCACACAACACAAGAATAGCCATCCCAGGGACATGGAGTGTGACGGGGGCTACCGAGCTCAAACACTCAAGGTTTCATTTGGTTCTGAGAAGTTGCACTTACATCTACCTTATTCTAGGGAAAGTGAGTATCTACAACAAATGGAGATCATGATGCGAGGATCTATGAAGAACTATGATCGAAGGTTGCAAGGAAGTATGGCAAGATGAGTGTGAGGACTGCAGATCGATCTATGACAGCGATCGTCGAAGATACAAGATCCGACAGACATGGGCACTGAGTGTGACAGCCCAAGTTTTTGTGAGTGATTTGATGGCAGGTTTGGTTGGATGTCTACTGACTGGCCCCACATGCACTGTGCTTACTTGTGCCATGACAGCTTGTGAGTGATTTGATGGCAGGTTTGGTTGGATGTCTCCTGACTGTCCCCACTTGCACTGTGCTTGTTTGTGCCATGACAGATTGTGAGTGATTTGATGGCAGGTTTGGTTGGATGTCTGCTGACTGGCCCCACTTGTAATGTGCTTGTTTGTGCAATGTGCAATGTCAGCTTGTGAGTAATTTCATTCCAACATTGCCTGTATGTATGCTGAGTTTCCTGCCTGTACTGTCCTTTCTGGTTGCATAGTATGTGAGTAATGTCAGGGGATCAGTGTCTGCTGGCTGAACTCAATCACACCATACTTCTGGTGCAATCTCAGCTTGTAAGCAATTCCATGGCATGCTAATCACATCCCTGCTGACTTACTGTCTTTCCTCTCATCTCAACCATCATTCACCAGGATGTGAGTGGTTAAATCTTGCATTTCCCTTCCAGCTATAGTGATATGGATGATTCCAATGTCTTCTCTGCTGCTGCAACATCAGATTGTAAGTCCCATTTTGTGATGGGATTGATCCTGTCATGATGACACATATGCAATCCTAGACAAAAATTACAACTGCAGGCAACCCCAATGCACCATCACAAGAGGTCTCCATTTGCTCAATAGCTGAGCATGGTGTTTGTAAGTAGTAGTCATCCTCTACTTCAGCAATATTCATTACTTCAGATTGCCTACTCATTTTTGAGTATTGTTACTTTTTATTGCTTAATGCACAAGTACCAAACAAAGAAGTTGTTGTTGTTCTGGCTGTCCAGCAGTACAAGAGTTCTTGTATTGAAGCCACTATCCACCAGGCTGTCAAACATGCTGTCCAGCAGCATGGTCCTCACTTGCATGATTTGTGTCAGACTCTTCTGCAAATTGTTTTGGAGAATTGTCATTGTGAGTGAATATGTCCAGTGGTCCAATCACTATGATCTATACAATCCTTTCAACCCACAAACTGGTAATTTAGAAACATGATGAACTCCCTGTGCTCTCTCCTATGGTCTTTTCAACACTTTTCTCTCAATGTTCAAGGCACTCCCATGCTGGATGATCTGCAGTGGCTAGACAAACATGTATATAAGAGCAGAGTATTATAGCTACCAGAATATCCATGCCTGCACAGCCTACAGTGACTTCCAAAATTTGAATTAGTATCCATGGCCATAGACTTGATTTAAATCACCATGTCATTGAATCAATTTTGTAACTATGTGTTGGATCCATCAGAATCCAACCAATATCACATAAAACAATTTCAAAAATCATCAAAGATGGTTGCTATGGTTATTATACCTTAGCAACCATTTCAGTCCAAGCTATTTAACCACTGTCTACATTGTCAATGCTCCCTAACTATACTATGCACCCCATCTCCTCTGCTCAGAAGGAAAACATCATTTCTCTGGCCTGTAATGGTCATTCTACTCACACTATTGCCTCTAGGCTGGGTATCAGCCAGCCTACAGTCTCCAGGGTGTTCAAGAACCTTCTTCCTGATCAACAAGCACTTTCTTCTGGATGTCCTGCTAAGCTTTCATCCACCTCTCAGCATGTTATTACTACACAAATCACCACAGGCAAGGCCACCAATGTTGTTGAGGTTTCAAAGAACATCAATTCCATAATCTCCAATCCAGTCTCCTCACAAACAGTTGGAAGGGTCCTCAGAAAACATTCATTCAAGGCTGTAACAAAGAAGAAAAAACCACTCCTTTCTGTAATTCATGGGAAGAAGCAATTAGCCTTTGCTCTGAAATACAAAGAATGAACTGTGGAGGACTGGAGAAGGGTTATCTGGTCAGATGAGACCAAAATCAATAGGATTGGGTCAGATGGGAAGGTTTGGGTGTGGAAACAGGCAGGAGAGGGGCTTATTGAAAGAGAGATACAGGGAACAGTCAAGCATGGAGGAGGAAACATTATGGTATGGGGATGTATGGGCTGGGAGGGTGTTGGCCACCTTGCAGAGATTGAGGGGAGGATGAATGCTAACCAATATGTGGACATTTTGGAGAGCCAGTTGCTTCCTAGCTTGGGAGATTCTGGAATTCCTTTGAAGGATGTTATCTTTCAACAGGACAATGACCCAAAACATACCTCCAAAAAGGCCAAGAGGTGGTTGGAGGACAACAATATCAATGCTCTGGACTGGCCTCCACAGTCTCCAGATATGATCCCCATTGAACATATCTGGAATCACATCAAACAGGAGCTCAACAAGTATTCAACACAGACAAAGGGAGTTTGGGAGGTTGGGAGAGAGTGGCAGTAGTGTGGAATAATATAGACCCAGGGGTGTGTCAGAATTTAATTGAAAGTATGCCTAGAAGGGTCCAAGCAGTGATAAAAGCCAAGGGAGGTCATACAAAGTATTGGGATCATCAGTTTCTATATCTCTGATACACACTTCCAAAATTGATTCAATGACATGGCAATTTAAATTGTATATACCTTTATGGATACTAATTCAAATTACATAATTATTTTTTTGATGGATAGTCCTGTGCAAATGGCTTATGTCATCAACTTACACTTTGGTCTTATTTGTCTTTTTTCTTGATAAATTCAACACACAACCCAAAATGTGCAAACATTGAATCAATTTTGGAAGTCACTGTATGGTAGTAACCCACCCAATACTGAGTTTGAAAAGAAAAAAACAATCTCTTACTGCTGTTAGGTTGTGCTAGAACAATGGAAGCCTCATCTATCATCCCTCATACAATCATTGACAAGCCAAGCATGAACTCATTCACCTATTTTGGCACACCCCTATATGGCTATCATACACAGTACCTACTGCAGAAATGAGATTTTGGGTATTGGATATGGTGTGGGCAGATGACTAAACCATAGATAGCTTGTACTTTGACAGATGATTAACCAACCACTTCAGTCAACCCCCTTGGGAGACCTATGAGGTCTCAACAGGTCAGGTATCCCCAGCCACTGGCAGGGAAAATCTTTTCTCCAGCACCATGCTTGGGGATTCTCCACACTGCCATTTTATAGAGGTGGGAGAAAAGGATTTTGCCATAATTAATATACATTATCCTGAATATGTCAGGGTGACTGGGGTCCAGATGGGCCTTTCTCCAGCTGAAATTGGGCCTCAATGAGACATTCTCCATGCTAAAAAAGACACAAGTAAAGCTTTCCCCAGCCAAAATAGGGCCTCAGTAGGACATTCTCCATGCCAAAAAGGACCCAAATGAAGCTTTCTCCAGTTGAAATTGGACCTCAATGGGACATTCTCTGTGCTAAAAAGGACCCAAATGACACTTTCCCCAGGTGAAATTGGAGCTCAATGGGACATTCTCCATGCTAAAAAAGACCCAAATGCAATGGGTGACCAGCATAACTGGAGTCAGACACAGGTTTGTACAGTAAGCAAGATCAGCAAAGGGGACTGGACTAAATATAGTACAAACAAAGGAAAACAGACCAGAGTCATGTGCAGGTCACCCAGACATGGACCTGGGGGGACTGGGGTGGAGCAGTGCAAGGCCAGGAGGCTGGAATGGACTGGAGATAGGGGTAAAACACTGGACTTGAGTCATTTAGGCTGGAGTTGGGTTATCTAGGACTGGAGTTGTGTTCTCTAGGCCAGAGTTAGCTTTTCTAGGCTGGACTAGGACTAGACTTGACCAGGGTTAGGGGCTAGGGCCCCTGACTGGACCAGGATTGAGTCTGAGAGTCATGGATATGACACCCTTCATCTTCTGTGAATTCCTCTTCATCTGTTTGTCCAATGTCATACTCTTTGGATAGTGCCATCTCTCCAATGGCCTGCAATAGTTCATCACCTTCTAATGTCAAAGCCTCCCATTCACAGTCATAGTCTTCTGGTTGCTCAGCTGCATGGTGCATGGCAGGCACTCCACATGGCTTGTAAGGGGTTGAATGAAATGCTGCTATGTCCTCTGCTGTGGGTCCCCATGGGCTTGATGGAGGCCAAGCATGTGGTATATGTTGAACCTTGGCTTCCCATTTAGTATATGTTTCCACCAGGCTATCCTTTTGTGCTTGCACACAATACTTGTAACATTCATCTACAAAGTGACAAACTCAGAAACCATGTGATATCAATAATAACTCTACTCACCAGCATTGTTCTGAGCAGCCTCTACACTTTGCCACTCCACAGAAAACCACTCCTGTAAAATGGTCCACTCTCTTGACAACCTTCTTTTTTCTTCATTGCAATGATCAACCTCCAACATAAGTCTTATTCCCTTGTGCACACCCTCATCAGCAAGCCAACCAGGGGGATCAGGGTAACCCTCCTCAATTCCAACCCTGCCAAATATCACTATCAACATCCAGTTGAAAAATACCCTTAGATGGTATGGGAGGAGGAGAAATAGCACCAGGAGGTGCTTTCTGCAACCAAATCATACCCTACAATTCACCACAGAGATTATTATATGTTGTGACTAGCTTCAGTACAGTGGGTTCTTGCACCTTAGGCACCACTTTTCAGCAGGATTAAGGGTCTATTAGATATAGATATACTTTTTGTGACATAAACAATGTATCTAATAGACCCACCATCTGCACTGGAATCACCTGGCTGGTACTAATAATAGGTTTGAGAATCACTTTGAGAACTGTTTTCCATTTTTGGGTGGTGCTCTTCCTGCCCCTATGCTCGCCTTGCATTTGCCTCACCTTCCCCAAACCTTCATCCCACCATATCTCATGTCTCTTCAACCCTTGTACTACCATCTTGCAAACTTGCCAGGGATGCTCTTGGGGAGCCTCCTCCAATGTTGGCTCTGTATGGCTCCCACATTTCATATGTCCCACAGTATGTTTTTTTTGTCTTCATATTTTTTCTGAAACATGCATCCCTATCCTGGGACTTGCCATTCATTGCCTAGCACAAGTTTTGGCTTGGGCCAGCATTTCTCGAGTCCAACAAAGCAGCATAACAAGAGGAAAATGCAGACTAATGTTATCATTCCAGGTCAAAGTGCCAAATGGCAACATCTCCTTCAACAGTTGAGTGATCTTTTGAATCACAAGTCATCTCCTGGTCCATTTTCTACTATCGACACCCCTCCTCCCAAACCAACCACTCCAGATGTGCTGGATGACACTGACATGCTCCAGCACTCCAGTGATGAACTGTTGCCCAAAGATGTTGCTGACTATTCCATGCCAAGCATGGCCATTGACTGGCTGTATGACAATTGGATGGCAGTTATCCCTATGATTATCAAGCCATATCTCCAATATATGTTGGAAACTGTCAGAAAGCCACTTATAACCTATGATAAACCACTCTCTGGTTGTCAGGCAGGATGTGAACTCAAGCATTCTTCCCTAATCTGTTTATACTTTGACCATGTGTAACATCCTCACATCTCCTTGTGGAGGCTGATCTCATTTCAGGTTTTGTGACTGTTATGGTTCTAAGTTGTACATGCACATCACTTCCTCAATTACTCTTACATTCTGGGCTCTTTCCCACTGCCCCCTCTCAACCTTGCCTGGCCATTTCTGTGGAATTACTTGCTTTCTGTCAGGCACTGTTTGAACATTCTTGCAACTCAATCAACACCCTTTCCTCTGCACTCAATACACATTATGAATGATGAGGGTTCCAGATGACCACCCGAGAGGTCAGTGGTTTGTTTGCTGACCTGCTTGCACTTACAAGTATGGCACACAGGGTAGAGTTATTCAAGATCTGTTCCATCATAGCATTGGAAATGCTGTCCAGTGGTACAATATCTTGCAAGTGCATATTGAGTGCCATGCTGAAAGTATTATTGAACATTGTCACCAAACTGTTCTCAACCATCTCAATCACACACAATCTGCTCAGCAACTGTCATTCACTGCAATCCCACCATCTTCCAAACAGTTCTCATTGTTACAATGCGCATCCATACTCATCCAAAGGTGCCCAGCATGTTTTGCAGGTCACACATTTGGATGGCCACTGAGCAATGGCAGTGATATTCATATCACACTTGATGGGAACTTTCACCATCATCATCAGCACTCAGCTGGTAGTTGTCCTGCATTTTATGACCCTGCATATTTCATTCCCAAGGTTCAAGTTGACAATGTTGGATGCCAGATCAAATGAGTGCATAAGCAGCCACCAAGACAATGGCATGTTGAAGTTCCTGATGAAGCAATCAATCAATGTGAAGCATCATACAAAGCAGCTGACAGCAACAAGCAGAAGGCTGCAATGGACTGCTTCGATGACACTGGAATTATGGCATTGATATGCCATCATGACATCCCTCTCTTCTTTGCAAATATTGACATGCCTGGTGAGCAACAGAAGTATAGCATCACCCTTTTCAAAATCGCCCTTCACAAACACCTCTTCTCCCACTTGCCAGTCACTGCAACTGTTGTTGCATTGTATGATATTGGTTGCATTCTTGCATGTTCTTTAGACAAGGTATATACAAAGTCTCATCCCCATACACTAGTACTGACTTCCTGCAGTTTGACATCCTTGATAATGAAATTGTTTGTCACATCCACTTTTCAACAACTGCAATGCATGCCTATGGCCACAAATGGGCATGCCAGCTCGTTTATAACCCCTGCATTACTACAGGACTCAGTCTTTCTGATGGAGAGGGCACCAAATGCCTCTGGTCCCATTTCATCAAGCTCATTGGCATTGAGTGAGCATCATCAGCAAGTTCATTTTATTACTCTAGTTTACCCAGAACTGAAAAAGTGTTTGATTAGTGCCAGTGCTGTATCTGGCTTATTGATCGTCATGCTGCTGCAATAGGGCTGGAGATGTGAAATGATCTTGGTGACTGGATTTGATGCTGACTGAGGAAAGGAATTGCCAAACAAGGTAGTGAAGCATGTCAGATTCTCAGCGATTACAGAACCGATATCCTGGAATTGCAGAATGAGTGGGCTAGCCAATGTAGCACTCAGCTTTCCATATGGGCTCGTAAGTATTTCTGCATCTATTAGACTGCATTATTCATTCTTCGCCTTTAGATGTGCTGGCTTGATTAAAAAAAGAACTGGACACTGTACTTGTGTTGCAGGCCAACTTAGAGGTTGCTGACTGAGCACTTCAAGCTGCATGTGCAATAATTGAGAAGGATGTGACAGAGGATACCCTTGAGGCTCTCGAGAGTTTGGAGCGCAGCCATGATCATCTTTTAAACAAGGTGGACCTACTATATGCATCCCTCAACATCCATGACAAGTTTCCCAAGCTCAATGGTGTTGACATTGAGTTTGTTCAGATGCTTCTTTTGGCTCATGATTTGAAGATCAACATCCGGAAATGGGCAATTGGGGGCTTTTTTGAGTGGGACAAACTTGATCACACAGTACAGGGAAAGCAGAAAGCCTTGGGTAGTATTGCTGAACCTACAACTCAGTGTTGCAATGCTGATCATTTCTTTCTAGGTACAAAGCTCCACCAGCAAACTTGCAAAGCATCAGCTGTGCTCATGTCAGCCATCTGAAAATTCAACATGTATTGTGAACATCTTGCAAAACTATATGGCACATCATCTGGCATCCCCCTTCCTTTGCTGCTCCCAACAAAATTAGCTGAACTATGTAATGACCAATCCCTCTTCAAAGATTTTTGGATCACTCCCTCTATTGGAGAAATCCCATGGTGGTTGCAAGACTCTGATGTGAGAGAGGGCATTAGAGCAGTCCTGAAGACTGACCACTGTCTCGAAGAACACTGCCTTGGCATGGAGGCCAACAACATGTGCTGATGGTTTGGCAGTGAGCTGTGTGCCATTGAGCTTGCAATTTGGTAGCTAGAAAGTAAGTCAAGGTAAGATCTTTAAGATTCTATGCACTCTCTGGTTCTTCAACAACATCACAAATCACTGGCCAAGATGCAGGAAAGGTGGCCCACACCATTGGCCTCCACAGTTCATTATGTGAGTCAAGCCCACAGTGCACAGGCTATTTCCACTTCCCTTGCCAGTACCCCCACCCCTCTTGAGCTGCAATGGCTGCCACCTATTCAATGTGATGTATCTGTGGATGTCCTTAGTGAGGCAGACTCCACATTACCACTGACTGATGTTGATGCAGGAGAACATGTTTTGGACCCTGATCAGACTGCATTCACAAATATTCTCAAAGATGTACCATCCAATGCTGATGAAGGTGGTTTGTCCAATGATGATGAGGATCAGAAAATGATTCATAATGTGAATCTTGTTTGGGAAATTCCCTTCATAAGTTCCATTTGAGTGCACAAGTCCTGACTAATTTGCTACACAGATCCCCATGGTTGATATGATCAATGTCCACAACAACCTGCCTCTCATCCATGGTGTTTATGCAAGGCATGTCTGACAATCACAGGATGGTTTTCCTTGGTACATCTTTGAGCTGGACAACTATGAGCAGCTTGCTTCCACCACCAGTTTGCTCAATGATAGCTGTATCAACAGCTGTGCTGCACTACTCTACTCAGAATTTCTGTCATTGAATGCCACACAGTGCATGATACTGTCAAGTCATGATCTCCCCTGCATTCAATACCATGCTGAAGACAACATTTTGTGGTGCAACACCTCACGAATGTGTTATTGGGAGAAACCCATCTGGATACTCCCCATCCATCAACCATCCCCAGTCAGCCATTGGGTTATTTGCATTGTCAAGTTTACTTCAAAACAAATGCTCCTTTTTGACAGTCTCGCAGAACAAAAACCTTGGAAATGCAACATCAAGGTATTCCGTCATGTCTGTCTAGTGTTCTTACTGACAATTCACAGGATATCACCAATCTTGTCACTCGCCTGTCCCTCATAGCCTCGAAGAGGCTCGGAATTCCTCAGAGAGATTTTGGAAGCTGGTCTGCACACCTGATTGCAGTAAGTACTAAAAATACATGCAAAAATGGCTCCCTTGTCAAATTACTAGCTTTGCCCTCTGCAATCAAATGGGTACAACTGTGGACTTTGGGTTTTGGCTCAGGTCGCAGCAGTTCTGCAAGGCTGCAATGTTATGAACTTGCATGAGGCAGATATGCATGATTTTCACCATTATCTCCAATGTCTTATACATTGCATACCAGTGTAACTATGAACTACCTGCATAATGATCCCTGCCATTTTCCAATTCCAATGCTTCTTGTGTAATATGGTAGATATCCTGAGCTTGCCACTGCAGCCAACATGCTGCCATTCAAATGTTGCAGTTGCCTGACATGCCAGGACCCCCAATAGTATCATATATGGCTGACCATTGCACTAACTTCTCTGTGATATTGCCTATCAGTTCAGTGAACACCTGCTGATGGTCTCCATTTTCAAGATGTTTCACTCAATGAGTATCTGCTTCTCCTAACAGCCTTGCATGTCGCCTGAGCATGACATCCACCAGATTGTGCATAAACCTTTGTTCTTCCAGTGTTGGGTCTGGCTTGGCATGCATATACAGAGGCTCTCTTTCCCACTTAAGTAGATCTGATTCATTTAAAGCATCAGTGCTCTCAGTGGCTTCCAGAAATAGGGGTGACATTGGTAGAGGTATCATTGCATAGGTGATAAGAGCTGGCAGGAGGGATGGGACAGAGGAAATGACACTGGGATGGATGATACTTGACACAGATGGAATCATCGAACAGAGAGCATCTTTACTGAGATGGTGTCCAGTGTGCTTGTGGTACACATGGTGATTCTGAGCAGGTTGTAGTTCTTTGCCTCTGAAATGTGTTGTAATTGAGGATTGAACTGTAGAAACATGGGAATAATTACTTTGTTGATGCATAGATGGCCTTCTGTCTGCGTTCAGTGGTCTGTCTTTCATGTAGAGTGAGGTATTTAGTAGTGTGTCCCATATAACTGCGAAGTTCAGTAAGGGACAATTGGCTAACTTGAGTCAGTTGTGACATGTCGGTGAAGTACAAAACCAGAGTACTACACACTTGCTGCAAAGTATCAGATGGTCACAGTTAGGATAAATTGTAGCATAACATGTATGAATTTTGGTGATGTTCATTGGGGGGGGGAAGTAGTGCAACATTTCTGACTCTTTCTGCCTGCAAAAACACATTTGGTGGTGTTCTAGCTATGTTTTCCTTTCAGTAGGAAGGCTATTCAGATTGTGATTGGCTACTGTTATTGCACACTGGTTTGACATGTTTCCTCAGCATTCCAAGTCGCACTCCGAGTCCATCCTCAGCACCTTACCACTACTGATCACTATTTGTAGATGACCTGCAATGACCCCTGCTATGGTCATTCTGCCCAAAAATCGAGTAGAAGGGGTCAGGATATTTTGCAATCTGGGGAAAAAATCACAGCAAATGCTCTCACATTCTTACCTAGAGCCTCTCTGCACCCTCTCCAGCCTCTCTGTTTGAAGTTCACCATCATCATCTCAAGACAACTCCTTGGCTTGGAATTATCATGTCCCTTCTCCTTCTTTGAAAGCTTCTGACTGCCTCACTCTTGAGATGCCCATTGTGATCCTCACTAGATCTGCCGCAATGCTCATCTTGCATAAAGATGGTGCACCAGTCCTTGTTGTACTTTTCCTTCATTCACCAATCTCTGCACAACTGGAAATTTTTGCAACTTTGGTTTGTACTATCTATCCCATATCTCACACTATCTGATGTCGTTCAGAAAAAAATGCGAGGTTCTAGCAAGTCAGGAGTGCTCGACCCTCTGGGTAGTTCCTCATGACCTGCATCAACATGCCTGAACACTCTCCTGGCATATCCAGGACAATCTACAAGCACACAGGATGATTTTGTCATTGTCCAGGTTGGGGGTGGTCACTGCAATCCATCACCAGCCCCAGTGGTGACTCCAACACATCTCTTCCAGAAAATCAAGGCAACCACTCAAGACACCAGTCTAGTTTGTGAGGTGTCACTCTGCTGAGGTCATTTGCCCCCAGTTGAACCCCCAATGTCTCCAATGGGGGGTTCCCAAGATGCTGATGATGATGTCAATCCTTTCTTGTCAGAACCCATTATCTGGCCTACCCCAACAGTTTGGTCAGACATCTCCCTTGGTATGGCTGCCAGTGAGTCATTTACTGCTTTTGAAGGATGCTTCCACTATTTATATCAATCTAGTTGCTGAAGGTGATGACACACCATGTCCTGGGCCTGGACTCTCTGCCCCCCCTCTCAATACCCCAGCAATGCCATCCAAGACCCCTCCCAGTGGACCCTCTCCCCCCCATCTCAATACTGTGGCAGCACCATCCAAGACCCCTCCCCGCAGACCCTCTCCCTCCCCTCTCAATACTGCAGCAGTGCCATCCAAGCTGCCTCCCTGCCACCCTTCTGTACCCCTTCTCAATTCTGTGGCAGCGTTGTCCAAGCGACTTCCTGGTATATCAGTGCCCATAGTTCACAAGCCACATTCTACATCAGTGCTGACTCACACCCATGGATTGGCTCCATCTTCAGCTCTGGATAGGTTGGGCTTTGAGCCTACAGAGAGTTTTGTTACCATCAACAATATAAGTACTCATCACCCCCAGACAATCATCTAATCATTTAATATTGTCAGACTTCCAAAATTGTTCCACCTTCTGATACATCATTGATTACTTGTCCAGAGTCACCCACTCCTTGTCACACCACTTCTGGCCCTTTGCAAGGACATGATCAGCCATCACCTCTACCCTCTCAAGAAAACATGCTCAGTGTTGAGACTGATGGGCACAATGGGGATGGCAACAATGGTTTATATACTCATGGGAGGTTGCCAGCTGCCACTATAGATGAATTCAATGAGGGCTTTTGGCAGGTCAATGAAATATTCAGCAAGCTTGGGGAAAGTTGAGGAATGCCATGGCAACAAGTCAAGGACTGCTACATTGCCAATATTCTCACTCAAATGCACAAAATCTTTGGAATTTGTACTCAGTGTATTTTGCAAAGAACCTGGAATCCGAACTTGCCTGGCTCCCTCAGGGCGACCACACAATCAAAGGGAGCCCCTCCATAGAATTAGGAAACAGTGTTATGCATATTTCAAAGAAGTATACTCAGAAAACTATATTGACATCCTGGAAACATGGAAGGAGTCAGAAGAACTGCAAGATTTAGGTGGAACAGTCACTCAGCATCAGCAACTTTTCAACAAGTCCATGAAGGATCTAGATCACATTGTAGGTGTTTCTTAGGCATCTTACTTATAGTATGTGCTGAATGCTTTCTCTTATAGTTTTCCAGACTCTCAAAAGTGCATGGGATCAAAGGTGTGTACATGTTGGCTGGGAAGATTGTGAACCAGGATGTTGGACTTGCCCATCCCTTCACTACAGCAGGTGCTGAAGGAGTAAGTCACTGTGTGATGTGTTTCAATACCATGTACTCAATATTCATTTTATAGTTCTTTCATTCTCATTGTCATGTGGATACTGATGAAATCATTGGGCATTTCAAGGCACATATATAGTAAGTAGTGTTGGTGTTAGTGATTCACTGTCTCATATCTTTTATTTAGCAACAAGGTGTCTCTTGACAGTTTGGCTGAAGTCTTCGAAGACCACACCAAAGAAGCTAAGGAGGTAGTTGCTTGTGGAGGAAAAGGGAAACAATGTGCTGTCAATGTCAAGAAGGATCAGTCTGATGATGAAGTCGAGATTATTGAAAATAGCGAGTGACCTGATCATGATCAAGTCAAACAACATCTTCAAAAGCTTATCAGTGCATCCTTCCAATATTAGCTTTCCTAGTCATCTAACAATTCTTAAAGAAAACTTTGGATTCAAATGGGCATCCCAAAAGCTATTTCCCTGGAAGTCTCTCCCAAATCAGCTGGCAGGCAGTGCACTTGTCATGTATAACTGGCCAGCAGATGTTATCTTCCCAGGTGAGGAATGCTGTGGCAAGGCATCTGGGAAAGGGATCTTGGACCTCACACATGCAGACTGTTCTAAGCTCATTGCTGTGCTTGTGGACACTAGTGAAAGCAAACTCTGCATCTGGCATGACCCTAAAAACAAAAGTATGTCCTCCATTTTTTAATGGTTGATGAGTACTAATGCAGCTATAGCAAATCTGCTCACATCCAAGAGTCCAGTTATCATCAGCACCCCACCATCATTTGACTCGAAACTGCCAAGGGGAAAGCAGATCTTCTGTAGTCTTGCAGTTGACCACCTCAGACTGGCTCAACTCCTCGATTGATCTGCCACATGTGTCAAGAAGACTAAGCTGAAGAAGGCTGCACCTGCCAGAGGTGATGTTGAGAAGGGAAACTCAGCTGCCATCAACACTTCTGACAGCATCAAAGAGGTTCCTGCAGCCAAGCCTGGTACTTCCACCACCACCTCTGGGATGCAGCTTGTGGGTATATTGCATCCTCAATTGTCCTCCAAGTCAAAAATCACAACAACTTCCAAACTTGTCATCTCCAACAATAGCTTGACCTCTGAAAGTGAGTCACCCAGTGATGGCTACCTGCCTGATCAACAATCCTGAGGTGTCCAGGATAGTGAGATGGATATAGATGATGGTGAGGTCGAAAGGAATGGTGCTGAGGACAGTGACTCTGACTATGTGCAAGAACCATTGTCATGTAAGCATAAAGTCAAGGGCCATGAAGTAGGCGATCCAAAGCAGAAAAGGAATGTCTCACCTTTGTGTAGCAAGGGCTGGGTATCTAAATGGAGCAAGACTGTAAGGTTCAAAGGCTCGTTGATTCCTATGACCAGTAGCAAGGCCTGCCATCGCATTCCTTCTTCACTGACATATATTTCATTGGAGGAGGATGCTTCTGTGTGGAGAGGTACTCAATCTGATGTTCCACTGGATGCTTGCAAGGAGTCCATTCAGACTGTGCAGGTGCTCACCCCTCCAATTATTCCTGACTCTGCTTGTCATACTGACATTCCCAGTTCTGCAAAGGCACATACTTCATGCAATGTTCAGGACTCTCACAAGGAGGTTGTCAATGTTCCAAAGGCAATCATCCCTACTATTACCCTGGGCAGCTCTGTTGATTGCAATATCTTGCCTACTGACACTGCTAATCTGTCTGTCCCTGTCACTTCTTGCTTGAACCCTCTTCTGACACCATTATATCCAGTTTTCTGGACACTTCTGGGATGTCCTACAGCATTCCCAACAACTTATCTGATGCTCCTGGAACTGTAGGTGGCAACAGCACTTGCTTGCACAATACTCCTGGAGTGACAGGCAATAGTTTTAGAGGTGTGTACAGTTACCTCAATTATGTGCACTACTAATGAGTCATCACTATCGATTGTCTAGCCCTGAAATCGGTTATGCCAGCTGCAAGAAGCCTGGATACTCAAGATGCCACCAACCTTGTTACTGGACAGGGTGATGGACCAACTGCCCCCTCAGACATGGACTTCTTCTCCCATTGTATGAGCAACACTGCCACCAGATCAGATTCATCGATTCCACAGCCATCCCACTTAGAACCCCCAGTGATCTACATCAATCTGCTGACAACAAGTCAAGCAGAGTGCCTGAGGCCTTGCATTGTGCAGGGTGGAACCTGTTCAGGTGATGAGCCTGAACCATTTAACCTTCAGTGCCAGGCATTTCCCAAGTTGGATGAGCCAGGATTATCTGGCAAGTGTCCATCTACAGTGTCCACAAGACTTTTGGCTGCCAAGGAAGGTCATTTGCCCACAATTAAAGGAGAAGCTGATGGTCCCCAGGGAAGCAATCACAGTGGGCACTCTGATCTGACAGTGGGCAGAGTTCATCTGCCCCACCCTTACCCCACTCCCCATCCTATATCTCACCAAGAGTCATTTGTCCATCTGTCTCAGCAACACAGTTTCATTGATTGGCTCCCTGGGCCTGGAGTGCCACCATGGCAGACGCCGGGTGCACCATATGATTACAACGCTGGCTTACACAGAGGGTGGTACAACCATCCAGTGGCTCCTTACCATCCCACACATCCCCTGCCCCATCTTGCCTACCATGGCTCATATGCAGATCCCAGTGCTTCCCATGTCCCCTCCACCAACAACACAGGGCATTCAAACTATGGTGCCCAACATGCTGCTGTCACTTGTGGGCCAGGTTACCATTTTGGCAGTAATGTTCACCATGACCTTGCTGTGAGTCAAAGTGTGGTTCAGTGGTGAAAACTAACCAAAACCAACATAAAAGACAAAAAGAGCGAGTGGTGGTTTGCCTATGCAGTACCTAGATGGTAGAACCTTTGATTTGGGTGGGTTTTTGCGAGCTACAACACTCAAGGATGAGTGCTGAGGGTTGGGGGTGCTCCTGACAAAGAGGGAGCAAGAATGTGATAGAAAGTGATAGGGTAGACTGCTGTCAGCCTACAGAAGGATGGATGGCAACTTAATTCAATGTCCTAAGCTGCACTGAGCTCAGGGAGGGCTTGGAGTGAAGTATATTGATGATGGACAAGGATAAGCGAAGTAGACAATAGTTAGACCCTTAATAAAGTCTCAACTATTGAAGCTGATGAATGAATTACTGAGTGATGATAAACTGTGAGCAGGAGGGGCTCTCTGACATCTTCTTCTTATTCAGCTATCTAAGTACAGTGATTTATATACAGTACAGGGGCATTGCCTATGGAAAACAAGGTGCAAACACTTGGTAAGTGATTGGTAAGTGATGAGTAAGGAATGTAAGCAGTGGGTAATCATCTTAGAAAGTATTGGTGAGCATTGGTAAGGATAAGCAAGCCAAAAGGTGAAGAATCAGTAAGCAAAGTCAAAAGATTGGTAAGTATTGGCAATAGGTGAGTCAAAGACAGTTAGAATGTCAAAGTATGAGTCAAGTTATGTCAGGAACTGGGAAAGTGCACTGGAATTGCATTAGGGGGAGGCTGTGCATGTCACATCTCAAAGAGATCACTTCTAGGCCAAGGTGGGATGACAGAGAGGCAGTGTTGATCTGATGCTGATATAGTACATCCAAAAGTGGACAGGGTGAGTCAGATGTCAACAGGGGTCAAGCTTTGGGGGTCTGTGGGGTGACAGGAGTGTAGGGGATTGCAACTTTCCCCCCCTAACTGTCCTCTCAGTGAAGCAAATAAAAACTTCATGAATGAGGCTCTGTTGGAAGAGAGGATGAAGGGGGAGTGTCTTCTGCTGTATCTTGCAACAAGGAGGCAAGATGTGCATCATACTTGTCATGGATGCAATCAGGGAGAGTGGAGAACAGTAGATTATACTGTAGCTGTTGCAATCTTGGAAGAATGATGGACAAGACTGGTATGAAGACATTGCAGGGTGCAGGGAGGAAGGATCCATATGCTTCTTGGACTGGAGAGACTGAAATGACCACATAAGACCCCTCCAAGTGAATGACAGACCTGAGGCAACCAAAGAACATCCTCCTAGAGGTCATACTGACAAAAAGAACATGCTGTCCAAGCTGGATGGGCTGAGAGGGCACAGATGAGGGTGGGATGTACCAGGATGCTTCAGGACAGAAGCTGGTAGGAACTCCTGATAGATATATGTAGCCATGGTCCCTAGCAAAGGGGAAAAGTGAAATGATTGACATGGAGGTGGCCATATCAGAAGAATTTAGTGAAATGAGTGTCTTTTGGAGGGAGTGCTGTAGAAACTTGTGGAGTACACAAATCCTTTCCAATTTTGGAAGGTAGGATTGCATGGCTGAGCACCACAAGTGAGTGTGGGAATGGTCTCAGTATCTACAGAAATGGCAGAGATATGTTGAAAACCGGAATGCCATATACAGGTGCTTAAGAATTTTAACCAGCACTTAACTTGCTCCCTTTCTTTTTCTTTGGCACTGATGACTTGTTCTTGTGCAAGGGATGACTGCCAACATTTCTGGCTGTCCTTCTTCACATGAGGGCTATGGTCTTCATCTCCATTCATCAGCTGTATCCATGTCCACCTCACCAAACACCTTTGGTGTGTGACATCACACCACCTGGACAAACTGCCCCCCTCCCTGATCCTAATTCTGCTCATGTGTACCTGCCCCCCTCACATCTTGGTGACATGACAATGTCAAAGTTGTCTGGTGAGTAGTCTGTCAGATGTCTGCAGAAGATCCTGCATCTAGTGGGGTGGCAACATTTTGATGTCTGTATCTTGATCCATGTCTTTGTCTATTTACAAGTCACATCTACCCCAAACATTCTATTTTCATGCTCTTCTTCCTTGACTTGGGATTACTTCATGCCATGTATTAATCATCATGCAATACACCTTTCTGTGTGTGACATATTAATGCATTGTGATTTAGCAACACAAAGTTCACGAAACAAAATTGGAGGAGTACCTCTGGCAGATAGTTGGTATATACTTAGATGAGCTCCCAGGAAAAGCCTCGAGGAGCCTCCTTGGAGGGATAGAAAATACTCGAGGAACCCTCCCAGTCTGATTAGTGCCTCTGACAGATGGTTGGGACATAGGCAGATGAACGATGGAAAATGGCTCAGGAATCCTCCTGGGAGGGATAGAAAACACTCAAAGATCCTGCCTAGCTACATGGTGAATCTCATCCAATAGATGGGTGGACCTCCATAGAGAGATGTAACATGCTCAGCTTACCTTCCCCACAATGTTGATCTTTGCCATTGGTGGCAGGGAGGGTGCCTCATGACCACTGCTGGAATTGCCTGGAACCTCCCCCTGATGATGGCATCTATTAGGTACATTATTGCATATACATTAAATATATCTAAAGACTGTGGGAAGGCCCAAAAACTGCTGCCAAGTGTGGGTTCTTGTCATTTGATGGATGACTCCACATGTGATTGTAAATGATTTTTTATGGCATGTTATTGGCAATAGAAACCACAAACAAAACACCACTCACCATTGACAGAGCTCCTGTATGATTGTTCCAACCTCTCCAACTCAAACTTGCATTGATGAAGCTGCTCTCTAATTCATATCTTTAAGGCTTGTGTATTTGTTTGGGTCTGTAGTCACTTACTGTTCCTCAACAGGTGTAAGTCCACATGTGCAGAAACTCCCAATGCTTTCTTTTTTTGGCTAAGAGCCTGAGTTGCCTTTGACAGGGAGGCTGTTACTGCAGCATGCTGGAGATTGTAGTCAATGAGGTCATTGACATGATCATTGACAAGATCCTTCTCCATTTGAACCACATGGCACTGGTAATCTTCAATGGTATTTTCCAGTGCAAGTATATGTGCCAACTGTTCAGCACACTTGTTCTTTGACTGCCCTAGATATCTGATGAGAATGTGATTGCAAACACAAGGAAAAGACTAACTGGGTAAGGGTTGAGTTTATGAATGCACCTGTGCAGCCCACTGCTCTCTCAGTGTTTGCATGTCAACATGCAATGCATGGAGGGCTGCCAAAGCCAACATTTTCTTGCTTTTGCAGAGGGTCCATTTCTTGTTCAACCACTGGCCAAGAGTAGCAAAAGACTTCTTATCCAGGTGAAGAATCTGATTGTCAAGAACAAATAGTCTTTGATGATGCTGAGGAGGAAGTGAGCACCTGAACTTTGCAGTATATTACAGAAGCAGAAGATCAATGCTTACACCAGAAACTCAGAGGGTGAGAATGAGTATCTTCAAAGAGCTCCACAGCCACTCACACCCTTCACAATCTGACAAACCAAAGCCCACATGTTTATGTGGGTGGTATACCAACTGGCAGGGCCACTGATGACCATAAGCATGGAAAACTGAGATACCAAACTTCAACCTAGATAATATTCCATCATCCAGGACATGAAGATCTACAGCGAGAGTTGGAATAATTGGTGAGCATGCAAACAGGCCACACCATATGAGCTGTACAGGGGCTGGAGTGCATGTGCAGTAACTGATCTCAATCTCCTCCAAACCTGATACATGTAAGCACAGTGCTAGGGGGATACAAAAGCTACATATGGTCAAAGAAAAGACAACAGACACTGAGCTGATGTACAGCACAAGTAGATTGACTTGGTGTGGCAACTTGAGGCTCTACCACTATGCACAGGCTTTGTGAAACCTCGAGGTACCACAGGTACAGCTTGACAAGGACTGGGATAATCTCTTCCAACCACCACCACCATTGATTTTGTCACTTCTGCAAACTGCTTGGGGGCAAAGTACTCTGGATGCTGAAACCTCAGGCATGACATCAAAGATACCAACACATAGGATGTTGTTGAGGTTGATGTGGTATAGCATCCACATGCTGGGCAAGTCATTGGTGGCCAGGAAGGACAAAAACAGGAGGGGGGGTGGGAAGGTAGAGCAATTTCATACCAGGAGGGTGGTGGTGATGGGCTAGGGGAGGGGGATAAACAAGGCCTGTGCTGAGCCCTAGTCAAGGATGAGTATCCATGATGTCATAAGTTAATATCAAACATACTGAAGGGCCAGCCACAGCAGACATGTTCAAGACAACATTCTGTGACTGACTAGTTAATGTGGATGATGTGGAGGGACCCTATAGGGGAGATAAGCAATACAAACACCATGTAAATGAGGCTGGTCACACCAAAGGATCAGGCATATGAGGTAATTGCTGTTTATTCAATGACAAAGGGAAAAGGTCTGGAACTGTTTCAGAATCCTGTAGGGAAAGATAGGTACAAAGAATGATTTGATGAATAGAAAAACTAACATAATCAGAACTATCTAGTGCAACATGGGCAGGCTGCCCTTGGTGCATGGAAGCAGAAGCTTCATGACACTTCCACAGCTTTGGACAATGGACTGCCATGAAACCCATGACACAACATCAATGGGATATACCCTGGACTCAAATTCAACAGGTAAGGAATTGTGACATGAAGTCAACAGATGGTCAGTACGAAGTAAGTTGGTGAGATAACAAACTGGTGGGATTGAACAACTGAAGCTAGAAAACAGATGAGAATTAGCAGTGGTGGCAGGGTGAAGATGGTACACACCAAGGTCACTATATGTAGAGCACAATGTGCAAAGATGATGGAGAGCTAGAGGCCATGAAGAAAAGCATGAGGCAGTCACAGTGACAGTGGTGAAAAGTTGCTACATATCCAAGTCACTGGATATCAAGCACAGTGCAACAACAGATGACAGAGCTAGAGGCAAAAAAAGACATAAGACAGCACACAGCAAAGAGTTATACTCCTTACCTATAAGCACGAGCCATGATTGATATGGTAGTGATGAAAATTGGCAAGCTACAACCAGATGTCAGATACAATACACAATGAAAGGAATGCTACTGACCAAAGTTGTGACAGTCGAGAGAGTAAGTTGCTATCAAGAAGAGAAGTGATTAGACACCCAAGATGCCAAGGATAAGATAAGGTTCAGTCAAGCATGACAACATGGCATGCAGTATATTGTGGCCCAGACCAACAAAATCAGAATATGCAGTATGACTAATTTAAATACATGTAAAAAAGCAGGGGAGGGAGGGTTGTTGTCCAAGAAAATCAAACACAGTTTGCACATAAAAATCTGCTGCACAAATGAATACCTCATATGCTCTGGCATTTCCCTCACCATCCAGCTCAGTAGGGGATTGCAGACATGAAGGTACTCCAGGCCATGTTGAAAGCAACTTGTGAAAACTGTTGAGGTAGGGCAATGTGACTTGCATGTCAGAAGAGCACATACCCATCTGGCTGGAGTCCTGCAGCAGAGGCTCTGACCACAGATTCAAAGATAACAATATACTTGCCTGCATTCCCTGCCATGCAATTTCTTCTGGAACTCTTGCCAACCCTTGAGCTGATTGACTGATCCTGTCACCCAAAATGTCCTGAACTGCTCATTTGGTTGTTGATGAGAAGGACAAAGAGAGATGCTGGACATTAACAGTATTGAGGAAATCCCTCCACATCTGAGGGGAAGGGAACTTGGGGGGATGGCAAACATCAACTTCACTGATCCAGAGCACATGGGCAGACAGCCAATTGATGAGATATCTTTTCTTTCACTCCAGAGTTGTGGTGTTGACAAGAAGTGTTAGCTTTGGAAATTGATAGCCTGGGTCAATGAAGCCAGACTTGACTTTCTGCAAATCTTTGGAAGCTCTCTTCCAAGCTGACTTGAACAGGCTGTGTGCCTGTGGAATTTCAGGATGGTTGGGCTCATCCCATCTTCCCTGTCCACCTGTTGATCATTGGGGGGGCTACACTACCACTTGGTTAGCAATGAGACAAGCAAAATACAAATGGTTACACACCTCTAGAAGGGCTGCCATTGACAACTTGTCTTGCAGTTCTGGTCTGCTTCATGGTGGATTGCCTGCCAGTACTTGAGGATGTGTTTGATGAGGATGGATATGTGGCAGTGGGTAGGGCAGGTGTGGACTCTGGCTCTTCCGTGAAGGAGCCTTATAGCTGTGGTGAGTTTGGAAGTGGTGGAGGGAATTGCCTGGGCCACAATGGAGAATCTGAAATGGCTTAGCTACCCCATTTTCTGTATACATGGCCTTAACAATATGGTCAGTGTATGTGAGCCACACTGGTTGGACAATGTTCATGGTTGGAGGAATGAATGCTTCCCTGTGATACTACCAAAATGGGTACCCCTGCAAAGTATTGTGACTTGCATACTTGGGTATCTTTTGTGAAGCACCCCATCCAGATCAGATTGATGTGCACAAGATGCAAGGGTGGGTTTAGGAGAAGTGGATGAAGAATTTTGATGAAGTCAAGGATGGCATGAATGTCAAGTAATGTACACTGTAGCTGGCCAACAAAAATGATGAGATCACAATATAGGAGGGGGTGGTGCTACAAGTGCATCACCTGGTGCTGAGCCAAGCAGACCTGGATACACATGACTTCCTGTCTGATGGGTCAATCTCAGAGCTTGTGGTAGTGGTTTCACAAGGCTTGAAGTACATCCTCAAAATCCTTGACTTTCCCCTCTTGAATGGTGCCTACTGTGAATCCAGAGCCAGTTGGAATAATGAAGTCACTGGGAGTAAGAGTGTCCCACACAATACCAAGAGTGGGGAGCACATCCTTCCAGGGAACACACATTGAATATTCATATTCCTTCTCATATGTTTGAGGCCATTGAAAGCAGTTGACCAGCCCAAACCAACCATCAGCTTGGAATTGAAGGTCCTGGTCATTGAAAATGTGTGGGTCAGGGACATAATCTGCATTTGGTGATTTATTACCCAGCCATCCTTGCATGCCAATGCCCATGCTATCACACACCAAAGGTGTTGTGGACATGGTTACAGCTGACTCTGCCTAACTCATTGACAAGTTGCATGCCATGCCATGCAGATAAAGACTAAAGTCCTCATGTGTAGAAGGACTGCTGGATGTGAACAGTCATCCTTCACACAAGAATTAGTCATCAGTGCTAGAGAGAAAAGAGGAAGTGAGTTAAGCACACATCAAAAGTTTTCAGTGCCCATGTATGGCATGCCAGTTTTCATCATATCTCCACCATTGCCAAAGATAGTGACTCTGTTCTCACACTTGCTTAAAGTGCTCAGCCACATGATCCTGCCTTCTGAGTTTGGAAAGGATCCTCACACCCTACACATTTCTACAGCACATCATCCATCAGATGCTCATTTTGCTAAGGCCATCAGATATGGCCACCTCTTTGTCAATCATCTTACTTGTATCCTTTGCCAGAGACAGTGGCTATGTATATCTGCCAGGTGTTCCCACCAGCTTCCATCCTGAAGCCCCCTGGTTCATTCCATTGTTGTCAGCCCTGTCCCATCCTATGCAGCTTGGTCAGCATGTTCTCCTTGTCAGTATGAATTCCAGAAGGACATTCTTTAGTCACCTCAGGTCTGTCACATGGTTAGAGAGGTCTTATTTGGTCATTTCAACTATCTGAATCAGATCTTGGCAGAGACATCTATTTGCCTTGGAATTACAGTGGCTCAAAAACTGTCTGCATGTTTGCATGTTTTACACTAGTTATGACTAAACACAATAACCCCTAACCCTAGCCCTAAACCATGAATGTATGAAATAAAGTACTTGCTCTTGGCTTTCTATGGGTCCAAGAATTAAGTGATTTGGATAGGAATTGATAGAATAGCAACCATTTGAATATGACATGTCATGCAGACAGTTTTTTGACTTTGTAAAAATCCAACTATCTAGTACTTGGTATGAACTCCTTTGGCCCTGATAACTACTTCAACCCTTCTAGGCATGCTTTCTATCCATTTTGACACTCTTCCAAAGAAATCTTCCCTCACTCCACTATCACCCTTTCCCATAATTGATGAACTCCTGTAGGAGCACTCTCATAACCTGAGAGAGATCTTTTGAGGTGATTCCAAGTGTGTTCAATTGGGTTGAGGTCTGGAGATTGTGCAGGCAAGTCTAGAAGCTTGATATCCTGCTCTTCAAACCATTTCTGGGCTCTTCTAGAGGTATGCTTGGGGTCATTATCTTGTTGAAAGATAATGTCATCTTCTGGAATTCCAGATTCCTCCATGCTTTGAAGCAACCCTTCCTGCAAAATGGCCACATACTGTTCAGCATCCATCCATCCCTCAACCTCACTCAAGACCCCAACACCATTCCACCCTATACATCCCCAAACCATGAGTGAACCTCCTCCAAACTTGACTGTACCTTTGACCTCTCTGGAAATAAGCCCTTCACCCTTCTTTTTCCACACATACTCTTGTCCATCTGACCCAATCCTGTTGATTTTGGTCTCATCTGACCATATAACTCTCTTCCAGTCCTCCACAGTCCAATGCTGATACTTAAGAGCAAAGGCTAACCTCTTCTTCTTGTGACCAGTAGAAAGCAATGGCTTTTTCTTCTTCACCAGAGCCTCCAATGAGGCTTCTTTGAGGGTATTTCTCACTGTCTGAGAAGAAACAGGACTATCAACAATAGAGTTGATGAAATGAGTGGCTTGAACAGCATTTTTGGCCTTGCCAGTAAGGATTTGCTGAACAATAGCCCTCTTGTTGGTAGAGGAAAGCTAGGAACAGCAACCACCATGAAGCCTAGACCTCTCTGGTTGGATTTCCTGAAGAACCTGGGATACTGTAGACTTCCCTAGACCAGTCTGTGAGACAATCTTCCTAGTGGACAGGCCAAGAGAGGCAAGAGAGACAATGTTTTGTCTTTGAGAGGTGGAAATGGACTCCATGGTGATGATGAGAAAATGAGCAGAGGGTGGTGGGGTTTATGTATGTTGGATCATACTCATTACATAAAGGTAACATAATAGAACCATTGATGGATATATGTAACAATATAACAGCATGCCAGGGTCAATATATATAATCAAAACTTTAAGTCAAAAAACTGTCTGCATGACATGTCATTTTCAAATGGCTGCTATTCTATCAATTCCTATCCAAATCACTTGATTCATGGACCAATAGAAAGCCAAGAGTAAGTACCTTATTTCATACACTCATGGTTTAGGGCTAGGGTTAGGGGTTATTGCATTTAGTCATAACTAATGTCAAACATACAAACATGCAGACAGTATTTTGAGCCACTGTACTTCTGGTGGTTTTTCCAGGTTGAGTGGGATTCAACATTCAGGGACCTGGCATGGCATGGGAATGTGACCTCAAGGATGTTTGTCCTGTCAAGGTCATAAAATGGGGCAGGTTGGTGTTGTGGGTGTTGATTTAGTGCTTGCTCTTGTGAGTATGGCTCTGTAAGACTGCTACTATATGTTGCTATGTCCTGCAACAAGCTCAGCTAGTCCTGGCTGGGTGAGAAGGTTGAAGAAAATTTTCTTTTGGGGTCCTTGTCAGGGTGCCATGTGGAGCAGAGTCAAGAGGCATGCATGACACTTGGTTGTTTGATGATGGAGTGGCTACATCAGGCAGCCAGTTGGTTGAGGCAGATGACATCAATAAGACCTGTAGGGGAGCTAAGATGATATGAAGAATACCATAATGAAATTGCACACACTGAAGGGCCAGAGGTACAAAGTGATGGCTCATTACCAGACAAAGATGAAGGATGGTCAGTGGGTACACTGGGTCCAGACCAGCTTGGACAGATGAAGCAGAGGAGGCCTGTAAAGAAATGATGAGCTCAACATGAGGTTTGAAGACAGGGAAAACTCACAATATTAGAATTACTCTTAGAAGGTGAAGCATTGCAATGCCTCCAGGGCTTTGGATAGCAAACAGCCATCTCAGATCATTCTGGAAACTGTGCCACAAAGCCAACAGCAGTACACCTGGGACTCAAAGTCAACAGGTGGTGGAAAGTGTGACATAAAGCTAGCAGGGGGTGTCAGTCCAAGGGGATTTTGAGCAGATGATGAACCTCTGGAAGGGAAAAACTATGCAGAAAATTCATCAGATCACCACATACAGCCAAGTAAGATCCTACTTACCAGAGCATGAGTCTTGAGCAGTTATACACAAAAGTTGCTATCAACATGGCAGTGAGCAGGAACCCCATCATCAAGATGTCATACATACTGAGCAGAATGAGCCTCAAAGAATTCAATTGTGCAGACCTTGATGCAGATAAAGCATCAATAGCAGTGAAGGGGGATGGGAACATTCCTTGCCTGGCAGTGGGAGTGTCAGTGAATAACACATTGCTATCAACAAAAAAGAAGCAGTGAGCACAAAGTGTGAGATTAAGGTTCAGTCACAGGCAATATTCTGAATCATTGAATTGATTCAGCCTGCTTTATGACACAGTATGTACTTGCACTAGACAGATTCAGACAGAAAAAAAAGTATATGTGGCAGAGGATGTCAGACAAAGGTAAAGATGTGGTGGAGGGATGGTTGATGCCCAAGATAATCAAAAGCAGTTTGGATGTAGAATTCACAATACATATGGTTCCTTGGCTGCTGAAGTCAATAAATACCCAGTGTGAGTCAAAGTGTGGTTCAGTGGTGGAAACCAACCAAAACCAACACAAAAGACAATGAAAGCAAGTGGTGGTGTGCCTATGTGGTACCCAGATGGTAGAACCTTTGATTTGGGAGGGTTTTTGCAAGCTACAACACTCAAAGATGAGTGCTGAGGGTTGGGGGTGCTCCTGATGAAGTAGGAGCAGGAATGCAAGAGATTGTGATAGGGTAGACTGCTGTCAGCCTACAGAAAGATGGATGGTGACTTAATTCGATGCTCTGAGCTGCACTGAGCTCAGGGAGGACTTGGAGCGAAGTAGATTGATGATAGGTGATAATAAGTGAAGTACACAATAGTTAGACCCTTAATAAAGTCTCAACTATTGAAGCTGATGAGTGAATTACTGAGTGATGATAAACTGTGAGCAGGAGGGGCTCTCTGACATCTTCTTCTTATTCAGCTATCTAAGTACAGTGATTTATATACAGTACAGGGGCATTGCCTATGGAAAACAAGGTGCAAACACTTGGTAAGTGATTGGTAAGTGATGAGTAAGGAATGTAAGCAGTGGGTAATCATCTTAGAAAGTATTGGTGAGCATTGGTAAGGATAAGCAAGCCAAAAGGTGAAGAATCAGTAAGCAAAGTCAAAAGATTGGTAAGTATTGGCAATAGGTGAGTCAAAGACAGTTAGAATGTCAAAGTATGAGTCAAGTTATGTCAGGAACTGGGAAAGTGCACTGGAATCACATTAGGGGGAGGCTGTGCATGTCACATCTCAAAGAGATCACTTCTAGGCCAAGGTGGGATGACAGAGAGGCAGTGCTGATCTGATGCTGATATAGTACATCCAAAAGTGGACAGGGTGAGTCAGATGTCAACAGGGGTCAAGCTTTGGGGGTCTGTGGGGTGACAGGAGTGTAGGGGATTGCAACTTTCCCCCCCTAACTGTCCTCTCAGTGAAGCAAATAAAAACTTCATGAATGAGGCTCTGTTGGAAGAGAGGATGAAGGGAGAGCATCTTCTGCTGTATCTTGCAATAAGGAGGCAAGATGTGCATCATATTGATGTTGGAGGGAGCAGGGAGGAAGGATCCATATGCTTCTTGGACTGGAGAGACTGAAATGACCACATGAGGCCTTTCCAAGTGAATGACAGACCTGAGGCAACCAAAGAACATCCTCTTAGAGGTCATGCTGACAAAAAGAACATGCTGTCCAAGCTGGATGGGCTGAGAGGGGACAGACAAGGATGAGATGTACCAGGACACTTCAGGACAGAAGCTGGTAGGAACTCCTGGTAGATATATGTAGCCATGGTCCCTAGCAAAGGGGACAAGCCAAATGATCAATGTGGAGGTGGCCATATCAGAAGAATTAGTGAAATGAGTGTCTTTTGGAGGGAGTGCTGCAGAAATGTGTGGCGTGCACAAATCCTTTCCAATTTTGGAAAGTAGGATCATGTGGCTGAGCACTACACACAAGTGTGGGAATGGTGTTGGTATCTGCAGAATTGGTGGAGATATGTTGAAAACGAGAATGCTGTACATGGGTGCTTAAGAACCTTTACTGGCACTTAACTCACTTCCTTCCTTTTTCTTTGGCATTGACAACTCATTCTTGTGTGAGGGATGACTGCCAACATTTCTGGCTGTCCTTCTTCACATGAGGGCTATGGTCTTCATCTCCATTCATCAGCTGCATCCACATCCACCTCACCAAACACCTTTGGTGTGTGACAACAGTCCATCAAATGATGATCTCCCCCAGACTCTCAATGAAGCCTTCTCTCAACCAGATAGCCACCTCTGGAGATCAGCCCTTGAAGAAGAACTACTTTCCCTAAATTCCAACCATGTATATGAGACAGTCCCAGTCCCAGTTGGAGTTACCCCAATCACCTCAAAGCCAGTTTTCCAGATCAAGCATGATCAAGCAGGCAAGGTAGAGTGGTACAAACTCTGAATAGTTGCCCATGGCTTCACCCAATGAGAGGGTGTAGACTACCAGGAGGTTTTTGCCCCTATAGCAAACCTAGAGTCTGTAAGGATCATCATTGTACTGGCAGCAAAGCATAACCTGGAGTTGGACCAAATGGATGTTTCCACTGCCTAATGGTGAGTTGGAGGAGGAATTATACATGTCCCCACCATCTGGAGTCCCAATACAACCAGGTCACTGTTGGCAGCTCAAGCACTCCCTCTATGGGCTTAAGCAGGCTGGCTGGACTTGGAACAAAACCCTTGACTTTAAACTTGGGGAAATTGGCTTCACCTGGCTGGATGCTGAGACCTGCCTGCATGTTCTCCAAAAGGGCCAACAGGTTTGTTTCTTGGTGGTCTATGTGGATGACTTACTCTTGGCTGCAAGTTCCCAGAAGTTCATGGATGAGGTAAAATCCACTCTAGCATCATCTTTCAAGATGAGGGACCTTGGAGAGGCCAAGTACATCCTAGGGATCAAACTCCAATGTAACCAGCAAAACCAGACCATCACACTATCCCAGTCACAGTACATCCAGACTGTGTTAGAATGCACTGGTATTAAAAACTGCAAACCAGTGTGCACCCCACTGCCACATAACCTAAAACTGACTGTGGCCACACCAGAGGATGGACCACCAATCCCAGAGATAACCATCAAAGGCCAGCATGTGTCCTACCTAACTGTCATAGGCTCACTGATGTATGCCATGCTTGGAACATGGCCAGACCTTGCATTCCCAGTTGGAGTACTCAGCCATTTCAGTGTGACACCTACTCAGACACACTGGGAGATGGCAAAGAGGGTCCTATGCTACATGCAAGCCACAAAGGACTTAGAGTTAGTCTATGATGGCTCAGACATCTCCATGGACATGGACTTCCACAGCTACACAGATGCTGACTGGTCTGGAGACCCAGACACCTCCTGGTCCACATCTGGCTATGTGTTCATCTCAAACAATGGAGCCATTTCCTGGGCTAGCAAGCAGCAGTCAATGGTTGCTCTGTCAAGTACAGAGTCAGAGTACATTGGACTCAACATTGCTGGCCAGCACCTCCAGTGGTTGCAAGGTTTCTTCAATGAAATTGGACATTGGCAACCACAACCCACTGAACTCCTTTGTGAAAACCAGGCTGCCATCATCCTGTGCTGGGACCCACAGTTCTTGGCCCAGACTAAGCATATACAGCAGAAATACCATCATGTACAGGATGATCTTGTAGCAAATAAGTAAGCTGCTGTTTGGTATGTCCCAACCAGAGACATGGTAGCTGACATCATGACCAAGGCTCTTATTCATGAACAACATTGGAAGTTCATCAAGGCTATGGGACTTCAACTTTGCTTGAGTGGGAGTGTCAACAAGTGACAAGGTTACATAAGTGGCTAGTGGACAAACCTCTGATAAACCTTAGACAAACCTTAGATGAACTGGCCTTTTTCCTGCACTTCTATTTTTGACAGGTTATGTATCACTGCTAGTATCTTTTCTTGCCCCTTTTCCCTTGTTCTTATGAGCTCATTTTCACATATATATACTTCACTTCTCTCACTTACAAAACCCTCAGTTGTCTTGCCCATACTCAGGCAGTGGCTGAGGTATAGTTATCCCTTGTATTTGTTTACACTTTACTAATTGTATGTTAGTTATTTTCTACTTAGGTGAACAATCTTAGTCATCTTGCCCATAATCAACAGTGGCTGAGTTATTTTCTACTTAGTTTTTGTCAGCAAGCACATGTAGGAACACTAATTCTAGACTTGAAGTAAAATTTGTTACTGGAAGTTTGGCAGTACTTCATGTATTGTCAGTTATGCAAATTAGGACAAAACTTAAAATTTCACCCCACACTGCACATGTTGACATAACTTCCTATCTTGGACAACATCTGCTATTCAACCATACTTATTGTTTACACAATGATTAGACATCTGCTCCAACTTCAAACCTGAGCAAATGTGTAGAAATGGATCTAAACTTCAAGTATGGATTTTTTCAGTATGCCATCACAAACTCTAGGTGTGAGATTGACATATTGTATTACATATAACAGGGTACTATATAGTGGAAAACTTGCTGTGTTAATTGTGGGGTGGAAAGTTCATCATCACTTCAGGAAGCTCCAGGCAGCAGTGATGGTGGAGTAAACAATAAGGGGAGAGTTCTATGATTGATTATTGTGTCCATTGGTCAAGACCTTTTGCATGCAATCCAAGAGTTGAATGGTGCCAAGGGATCATGAGATACAGTATTGATGTCCATTACAAGTGTTGATGTCCAGTGACAAGACACTCTATGAGGCAACTATGGGGTGGTATGGTACATGGATGATGAGAGAGGATGAGCACATTGAGAAAGATGTGTTTAATGTGTCTTACCAAGTCTTACAGTAAATGGACATGTTGATCTAGACCTTGGATGCAAATTAGGATGGCTGATTGCCAAATCCAGGTTTGGGTACTGGTAAGTTAAATCACTCATAAGTCTTAAAATTGCAATGATATATCACAAATTAACTATCTTGAATGATGGAGACAACATATATTTGGGTAGGTCCATCTGCTATCATAAAGGCTAAAATGCAGAGCTACATTGTAGAAACTTGTTTGGAATGAAAACACTGCAGGACATGCAAAATTTCCAGAACAAAGTCCCCATTCACTTGGCAAGCTGAAAAATGGTGGAAGAGGTAGCCAAGTATTCAGCAATAAATCATCTGCTTCCAAGAGGCAGGCAATCAGCAAATGCCAAACACTAGGTCATCTCTGACCTCCCCTCCCAATCAGTGTCTGGGGTCCATATTTCAGCCAGAGTTGCAAAGTTTTCAGTGTCAAACTTGAAGTCTGTATAGCACATTAGGACAGTACAATTGCTGCTTTAAGTCATAATAAAAGTGAAGCATTATCAGCATAAACATGCTCCTAGATACTACATTTTGGCTGTCAATCAGAAAAATAGCATGATATAATTGTTAATTGGGTCCTTCCCTATTTGTCATACAGCCCCTAAGATGTGTCAAGACATGTCGCAGTTGCCTCCACCACTGTGACATTCTGTCTCTCCAATGCTACCTAGTCATACTCTGCTACAGACCCATGCACTCATAATGTCCTTCCAAGTTAATACCCAATCAAACAGTACCACATCTGAGCCCAAAACTCAAGCATTAATCACAAAACTTCATGCACTTCAGCATATGGCATCAACATCACACCATGATACAGCATTGAACCCAGCCTTGAATGTAATGATTGAATGACTACAATAACTTATATTGGATTGCCTGATAGCATCACATTCATGCCCAAGATTCAAGCACCAACAGCAGACTCGCAATGCCAGCATACATTCATATTACCTCATGACAGTGACAGTGAACTCAATAATACTACAATAACAGATATCAGATGCTATGAACATGATAATGATTTTACCTCAGCCATTGGTTTCCAACATGATATCAGCCAATTCATATTGGATAATCCAGCCCATCTCTTCGAGGAGGACACATATGGCATACCAGAGACACAGCCAACCATACCAGATCCTTCATTGCTTCAATTACCCCTGTGGTTACCCAAAGGCAAATACCCCTGAGCAAAATCTATCTTCCAGGACCTGCTGGATGAGGAAACAGTCACCACTTTGATCAATGAGGCCACCAGCGAGGCATATCTCATGCTCCACATGCATGGTCACCTTGAAGTCCAAGAAAGTGAACATCTTAAATGTCCAGCTGGCTGTTGGGTTAACTCAGGTATCCATGCTCACATCCCTCTCTCCTCGAAAGGACAATTCTCGACCCTCAAATCACACTGGGGCAAGAAGTCCTGCCAAGGCAAAATGACCAAGATTGTGTGAGCAGACTCCCACAAAACATTAACAATGACCTTCCCTCTGTCTGGTGGTGGCAGTAGACCATTATTGTAAGTCATTTCACCCAAGTTTCACCCAGTTTATTACCATGATGCAACAATCAAATCATTCTAGCTGCAAAAATTCACTTGTCAGCATATCCATATCTCCACCTGTTTTGACTTCATCCACCCCATGTTGTCTGGGTCTTCAAATTGACAGCTGGCCTGGCACTCTGGCAGTGCCAATCACTGCAAATTTCCTGTAGCTGCATACTCACAATGGCCCTGACAAACTACCCTTCCAAGTTGACCTTATTGATGGAGTTGTTTTTGTTTGTGTGGAAAGCTGTTTTCACTATTCAGATGTCCCTGAGCTCTCTGTTTGTCTTGCATGCGATGCCCTTGCACCCCAACTTGCTATCCTTGTACTGCAGGGAAATCCAGATGAATATGTAGATGAATGATTCAATATCATGGTGGTATTGGTGCTTCACTTTGCCATCCTGGCCATCTTTCTGGAGGAGATCAATCGCCATGAATGGCATTGTTCCAGTCTGCTTGTTACCCACAGGTTGTCAGACTTTTCTAAAGATGAAAGGTCATAATCATTTAAGATGCCCATCACATTGCCATCCTTCCTATAGAACATCAGGTTTGAGTCGCTCACATCATGATGATGGATCCCCTCCCTCCAGAGGGTATAGTGACCTAGAATAGAATGACTGTCAGAACCAAGACCCTGCAAAAACAAAGTGTGGCTTACACAAAACACACTGCCACCATGCATCGACCAGTTTGTCACCTTGGAGCTCTTTGATTGGTGAAAGCTTCTTGAATATGAGCAGGACGAGCCTCTGGCTACCTTTCTCAGGGTTCTCGAGGCCAAGAACCTTCCTAATTGTAGATTTGGAAACCAGAAACCTCTTTGACAAGAACAAAATTGGCATGTGTCCTCAGATGTCCTCAAATTTCTTCCCAATTTCCTCCACACATGCCAAAAATTCTTCCTCTGTCATTTGTGCCTCTTTTGCCCAGTAAATTTTCGCCACCATGCCATTGACTGTGTCTGCTGGCTTCTCCTGCTTTAGTGCTTTGCAGGTGATGTCCATAACACCAGTCCCTCATCCTGCCAGCCCCAACCTGGTGTCTCTCTCCCTGTTGTCCAGTTTCAGTGTTCTTCCATTGACTTTGATAGCATGGAAAGGCTGTGTTTCGACCCCAGTCCTCCAAATTCAATCACTGGAGAGCATATAACAACATCAGAAAGTGAGGGAGATCTTGAACAAAATTGAACCCTGCCACACTGATGAGGCCTTGGTGGTCATAATACCAAATCCAAATGTTGTTGCCTGAAAGGCATCCAGTGCAATCTGCTCACTAGCAAGAACATAATGTGCACCTATAACAATAAAATTGAGGGCATAATTCATCACAATATTGGCAGACTGCATCTCGGCAGCATACAGCACTGTCTGAATTGTTGCATGTGTCCTGGGCTCCTCTGTCCTAGGCCACTTGCTCACATGAGACTCAGAATCAGCCTCCAACATGCATTTCCTGGATGCCATTTGAGTGCTTTCCTGAGTTGTCTTGCAAGCTGATCTGCATACTATTGGCTGCATGTTAAGCCTGACTGAACAGTGTAGTTCCATTACTTATGCAGAGCCTGTTCTGCAAGTGTTGCTTGCTCAGCAACAGGAACCTCTGGCAGCTCTGTTTCTTCCAGTTCATTTCCATCTTTGTTGATCTTCAAAAACTTTGGTTTGGAAGCTTGGTACTTCGACACGAAGTATTCCTTGGGAGGAGACCTCATTTCTGACTTGGATCACTTCAACTCAAAGATGCTGAGCACATCCTTCCATGAGCTCATCATGGGTGTCTTATCTTGGCCTAATGTCAATACATGCTCATCGCAACTGCCGAGTCTAGCATCTGTAAAACACTCAGAGTAGTTCACAAATGGAAGAAAAATGATATCTGGTTTGCATCTTGAATTATGCCCTTGAAAGAACATCTGTACTTCCTTGCTTTCCTCTTCATGCATACCATTGATCTTCAGCCTCTTCAGGTGTGCAAGAGCAGTGTTGAACACCAGGATGAAGGGCTGGTACAAGTCATCCTCCTGTTTACATGCTGTGCTGGTACAAGATGTTAGCAAAGAACACTGACATCAACACCAGCACACAAGTCATGAAACTTACTAATCTATGAGAGCCTTCCTGATATCTGAGACTGGGAATCCCTTGATATCTTCAGTGTGCCCATTACATATGGGCAGAACTTTGTTGATGCATCTGTCTAATAGGACAGGGCCATTCAAGTCAATAAGGTCAACTGGCATCTTTGAAGCCTGGCTCAATATGTACTCAAGCATGTCATCTGCCTCACATTGCTGTGCTTTGCAGATGTCTTCTGCAACCAAATGCATCAGGTCATTAATACTTGATTGGTGTCATGAATCAGGTTTATTTCGATGAGAACAGAAGTGGACGAAATGCACAAAGAGCTGTGGGTGTCGAACTGTGTGCTCACTGCAGAGAGGCTTTGGTTGCTTGGAGTCAAATAAAATAGGTTGGCATCTGGAGTGGTGCATGCATGTGGTGGGGAAAGACCTTCCATTGCTGCGCTGCCAGGATCAGACATGGTCACTGGCAGGTAAATATTCACATTAGATCGGTACTAGTGTTGTATCATGATGGGAGCCTGGAGGTTGAACATTGAACATTGAGTACTGAGTCCCAGTGAGAACCTGTCATATCCATATGTAGGTGTAGATACCTACTTGTATGTACCATAGTTTATACATATGTGTAACTATGCTTATGGTGCATGGCAACTGAAACCAAGTTAGAGCATATTTCCCCATAGAAATTGCTACTGAAACTTTCTCATTTGTATTCCTCAAGTCATCATGATTATAAGATTTCAATGAAAATTCCCCATTGAATTCATTCCATTCCACTGGCTCTACAAAGTTACAACCTAGGTATGCTATCAGACCTGTTGATACAGATTGACTTACATCATACCACAGATATGCCAGATCTCGAAGGTGAAGTATATTGGTGTACATGCAGAGAGTACTGTAAGGGCACTCAGAAGCCTCTGAATACCCTTTCTACTTGGCAGCATCACTTTTGTGATGCAGGTGAAGATGAAAAACAAGATGTTTGTTTAGCAAGATGCTCTGACACCTTCCATGCCTTTGTTGAAAGTAATAGACTTTCTGGTTCCAAGCATCTTTCTGAGAATGGTCCTGATGGTGACTGCAACTCCTCCAAGTGTCTCCATCTCTCCAATGAGGATGACTTTGAGGCAAGTTCATTTTATGTATTCATTATATTCCTATAAATCAAGACTACCAGGTTCTCCAGGTGCACAAGCATCTGCCTTCACCTGCATCTCCCAATAGCACGCCTGAAGAGATGCACAAAGACTTTCCCCCTCCTGGCTCTCCCCATAATTCACCTGGGGAGATGCAAGAAGACTTTCCCCCTCCCAACCCATGGAGAAATCCTCTTGTCGATCTTGACTTGAATGAACTTGCAGATTTCGCCTCTACAAATCCCAAGCATGTGTGAAGCATGGATTTCATCCAGTGGATTTGGAATGCTTCACTTGGTGATGGGATGGGGCTTGGAGGAGAGTCTGTTGACTGGCTCTGCAATCCTCTGACAGATGTCCTTGAACTCATTGATCCTTGTCAAAAACTTGCCATCCAAATCTTCATTGCTCTTGAGCACTCATCAGAGTCTGCATATGAGAAGATACACTTTGGCATCCATGCCTGTTTTCCAGGCTCTGAACTTCCTTCGTTCTACCAGGTCAAATGCCTCCTTGTGGACCCAACTGGAGTCACATCTATCATCAACCACATGTGTATCAACTCATGCACTGCATTTGTTGGTCCCTACACCCATCTTGACACCTGTCCTGAATGTGATGAGCCACACTATGACTGCTTGCAAGCCCCACCTCCCAGGTTCATTCAATGTTGCCCCTTGTGATCCCAGCCTTCATGCAAACTCCTGGTACAAAGCCACTGAGTACATCACTTGGATTTATTCTCTCTGTCTGGCACTTTTATTTCAGGTTTTACCCCAGGATATCTGGTGCAACTTCTGTAAGTTTGTTGCAGGCTTCCACATCATGGGTCAATACAGTATCACTCCAGCACAATTCAAACTCACTTGGAACTATCTAGCCAAATGGGAATATGAATTCAAGCAGATACACTACCAATGTCACATTGATCAGATTCACTTTATATGCCCATGTGTCCACCTATCAAACCACCTGGCCCCTGAGGCTGTATGTGTTGGGTCACCCATTTGCTCTTCCCAGTGGACAATGGAGTGCACTATTGGCAACCTTGGCCAGGAGATATGGCAGCCATCCGACCCTTCTCTAACCTTGCACAGCAAGGCATTCGTTGGTGCCAGATCAACACTCTCATGGCAATGCTTCCTAACCTAGATCCCACAAGCAAAGATGCCAACCTGCATGCATCTGAAGACTTGGGTAATGGCTACCTCCTCTTGCCAAAACATGATAAATGCACAATCACAGTGTATGGCTGCGAAGCACAGGTGATCTCGGAATATCTGTGGCAAGTAGAACTGCCCAGTGTTCACCACTGGGGACATTTATGACTTCCAAATGGTCAAATTGCACATTCTGAGTTTGTCAAATCACAGAAACCACTTGAAGAATTGCACATGGCTCATAATGTTATGGTACAGAGTTGACTGTATATTTCATCATATATACTGACAAGAATGTGTAGGCTATCATTGGAGGAGAGGACTGCATTGCAGAGGTTTGATACTTTGTGAGAGTGGCCATCAAGGATGACAGTGGTGATGACCTGTATGGAGACCCCACCCCCCCACAGTGTCGCTTCGTGAATGTCGCTCTGGTCACATTATACTCCCAGCCACACCCATGTTTACTCAAGGAATCATACAGAGTCATTGTGTCAAGCACAAAACTAGGTGATGTGAGTCTACATGTTATCGAAGTAACTGCCATTCATTCTGTCATTGGCATGGTTCCTCACAAGATCAATCTGCTAGGCACCATGGAGGATAGGTATTTTTTGGTCCAGAAAATGGGGTTGGAGCTTGCACATGTTGGGACTGAGAATGATGATGATGATGATGCATAATACTCTTCATACAAATGCTTGTTTTTTGTAGACTTTTTGTAGACTATCATGTGAATATGACTACAGTTGGATTGTTTCCATGCACACAGTGGGACCAAGATTGTGACCACAACCAGCAATGAGTACATTCTATTATCTGGTATGACTACAGGACACAACCTCTGTATGATGGTACTAGTAATACAAACATGAGGGGATGATGCAATAAAGTGATACAAATCTACATGTCTGCACAGCACTGCTTGATGGTCTGTTGGGTTGTATTCTCATCTGTGCTGACTTGCGAGAGCTTCTGCACATGTGAGGCATCTCTAATGTGTGAGGTTGCCACAAGCCTGTCCATTAGAATTGTTGGCTTTGGGTTCTCTGATGAGCCAGGGCATATGAGACACAGAACTGGTTCTGCAAGCAGATGATAGCTAGATCTATTAGTGAGAAAACATAGACAGCATGCATGCACTCACACTTTAGGTGGATTGAATATCTTTACATCAGCCTGTGTGCAGGGTTGGCTATTGGGGCCTTCTGAATGGTTTTGAAGATGAAGCACAAGTTTCTGAAGTGGTATGTTAGATAGATTTGACATATAGTGGGTATATGCGCATACAATAGGTCCTGGATTCTCTGGAGTGAGTGTAACAAGATACATGTTCCAGTCGGAAGAGAGAGCATGGATGTCAAGAATGGCTGTATTGTTGATGATGGTAGTTCTGACTGGAATAGTCACTAGAGTGGTGTCAATATCATTGGAGGACATGGTTATGGTTAAGACATGTTAGTTAAAGCATATTTGGTGTGAGGCAAGTCTGGCTCTAAAGACCATATCAGGACTCCCTCCCATTTCCTCCTGCCATTTCCTCCCACCACCATGTCACTCCCTTCCTCTGATGGACAAGCATCCCCATACCCTCTGTTTCTTGACAGGCAGACTAATATCTCAAATAATCTTCAGAACAGCTTGTCCTGCGACTCATTTAGGACCTCAGGTGATAGCATCTTCTGTGGTTTCAACAGCACCCAGCATTGGCCACACTCTCAAGCACAGATACACAGTGTATCTGTCATGTTCTAATATAGCTAACATCTGATCTTGATGAACATGGCTTGGGCCACAGGTTAACACCCTTCAAGATAATAATATGGTGTATCTATGTTACACTGGCCAATTTCATGCATATAGCTAGTATATTGCCTAGATTCAAGTTCTTAAAGAGACTATCAACAAACTCCAAAGTGAAAATGCAGCACTCACAGCTGGGAAGACTGCAATCAAGTAGCTGCATTGACCTGATTTATTATTTGATTGACAATGTCATGTTCAAACAGGGGTGCATATACTGCACTTGTCTCTCAGCTCCATCTGATTTCAAGCACCAAGGAAGGCCCCAACATGTTCCTTAATGTCAGCATGCAGGGCACTCCACTTCTGCCAAATCTACATCTTCCTCCAGCTCCACTGCCCCATTGTGATAGATCGGCATACAAGAAGGTATGGTTTTGGACAGAAAAGGAGTACAAGGACTGGAAGGCCACTGTGGAGGGACAAGCCATAATTTCTAAATCACAGACAGCATACCTAGAAGATGAGGATGGCAAGCAGCTACCTGAGAAGCATGTCAGCAAAATTCTCTCGACAATGCATGAGATCTGGCATGACCTCTGCTGCCAAGGCCAGATCAATGCCAACATGACATGGACATCAATGCCATTATCCATCAAGAAGATATTTTGTACTGAAATTGCTAGTGCACATCATGAGCTTGCCCTTTGTGAAGACTTGTGGAAAGCTGATAACCTAGCCAAGCAGTACTATGTGTTGTACAAACAGACTTGGTTTACAAATAAGGACAAGAAGTCTATTCCCAGCAAGTGCAAAGCAGATGCAAAGTTGGAGACAACTGATATTGACAACAAGCATACCAAAGTTGACACAGGTTTACCCGAAGACATTTCCTTTGATGCAGAAATCAGTCCTTTATCTGTGTCACCATTGGCTGATGTTTCTTCAGATTTTTTGGAGGCATCTACCAGTACTTTGAACCCCAAGTCAAACCATAGTGGCTTTTTCAAGCCAAAAGGTAATGACGATACAGGCATCCATTCTAACTCACATTGACAGCCCAAGAAGCTTGCCCTTTTCCTAAGATAAAGCTGAAAAACATTCTGTAATATAGACTTCACTTGCATACAGGACATACTGATATCTTTGGCTTGGGTCATCTGCACCATTGAACCACTTGGGCCTCCCACTGTCAGTGCCAGCTACTGCTGACATTCCCAACATGGTGCCTGTTCAATCTCCCCTGCAGACTTCCCCAGCCAAGCATGTTGGCTTGTCCGTATCTCAAATGGTTGTTCCAACAGTCACTCCAATGAGTGAATCAGTTTTCCCCCCTCCACAGACTTCCCCTGCAGAGGCCAATGGCACTGCTGATGTCACTAACACCATAACTGTTCTGCCCCCTTCACAGCCTTTGTCCATAGTTACTGGTGACCTGACATCAACAGCTTCCAAGACACTCAGACCAAGCAAGAAGAAGGCTTGGTGCCCTGGGTCAAACAAAAGCACACAGTATGTCATATTTCATGAGAGGGATGGGTTATACTAATATTGATATGAGGACACTGTGTGCCCACTGGTGGCTCAAGACAGTTTCTCCAAATGGCACACAGGAGGAGTTGAATACATATTATGATCAACTTCCTACAGAGACAAAGGAGGTAAGTAATTGGTCACTCTCATCATTTGGTCAATACTAATATGCCTTAACCTAGAAATACAAAGAGGAATACAGGAAACTTGTATCTCAAATTTGCTCCCTATACCACAATCACACCCTGCTGACACACCACTTCAGGTTGACACCAGTGTTTGGACAAATAGCACTGCAGAGATGATTGCGAAGTTTTCTGGCAGTATGGTGTACTAGTGGTAGGTGGGATTTGGGATGGGGTGCACATAATGTCCCTACTTTGTACCATGTCATACAACCAAATGAGGTTGACAATTGGCTGTGTTGCACAGACTGGCTAAAGTTGAGCCCACCTCTGAGTTGTCATCATGTCACATAGCATAGCCATGATCATTGGATGTCACCATACTGCACAGTGTGGCTGAGGGGTTACTACTATATACATCTTGCCTGGATAATCCTGGCATGGATTCTGGCAAGTTGGGAAAGGTCTGGTACTAACCTGGTCTGGGCTCACTGGCATGATCCCAGCATGTGTCAGCGATTGCCAGTGGGTCAGAAGGCATTCCACTGTAATTCTATTGGGTTGGTATGAATGCCAGGCTAATTCCAGTAAGCTGGGACAAATGCTGGGATAATGCCAATAAGCCAGCAAACATACCAGTCTTATGCTAGTGGGCTGGCACAGATGCTAAGGTGGTGATGGTCAGTTGGCATGGATGCTGAGCTAATTCCAGTTGGCTGGTATGGATGACAGCCACCACACTATTTCCAGTGGGTTGGAAGGCATACCAATGTGCATCCATTGGGCTGGTATGAGTTACAGCCACTTCTAGTATGCCAGGACACATATTGGCCTTATACAGGTGGGCTGTGATGGGTGCCTAGATTATGGCAGGTAGTTGGAATATATGGCTAGCCAGCTTTCATGCCAGTATTAGTAAGCTGGGACCCATACTGGTATAGTGCAAATATGCTGGAATAGAGGATAAGCTGGTGGTGGTTTGTGGGCATGGATGCTCATCTAATTCCAGGTAGGCCAGATGGATCACAGCCTCCAGGATATTTCCAGTGGTTCAGAAAGCACACTAGTGGGATTCTATTGGGCCAGTATGACTTCCTGACATTTCCAGTTAGCTGTGTCAGATTCCATGTTATTGCCAGTGAGCTGGGATATCTACCAGGCTGAATGTAGGGGACCAGCAGGGGGCCAAGGCTGGTGACAGTTGGTTGGCATCAATTCCTAACTAACTCCAGTTGGCTGGGATGGATCACAAACTCCAGGCTATTTACAGTGGTTCAGAAGGCATTCCAGTGGGACAGTATTGGGCTGGTATATGTTCTGGCCAAATCCAGTCAGCCAGGTTAAATTCCCAGTTGATGACCATGACCCAGGACACCTACCAGCCACAATATAGTGGGCTGGCACAGGTCCAGGGCTGGTGGCAGTTGTTTGGCATCAATTCTGAACCAACTCCAGTTGGCTGGGATGGATGACACCCTCTGGGCTATTTACAGTGGTTCAGAAGGCACTCCAGTGGGATTCTATTGGGCTGGTATATGTTCCAGCCAAGTCCAGTCAGCCAGGCCAAATTCCCAGTCAATGACTGTAACCCAGGACACATACCAGCCTTATGCTAGGGGACCAGGACAGATGCCCAGCCTATGGTAGTTGATTGGCATGGATGCCCAGTTAAGGCTACTTAATGTTACCAGTGTAGATGATGGGCTAGTCTTTTGGCATCCCCTGGTGAATGGATGAGCCATACAAATAGTGTCCCATATATATTGGCTTGGCTGGGAAGCTATTGTCTATGGGGCTTATATATCAGTAGCCTGTGTAATAAGGCCCAGTTGGACCTGCAGTGTTCCATTTGGAATGGTAGGAGCATATTTCAGTGTGCCATGTGCATCAGCCTCAGCCCAAATAGGAGTGCCCATGTACTATGGAGGGTTTATAGTCCATTGTACTGTGTCCTTGGGGTGGGCCCAGATATTATGATCCCATAGGACAGGCTGGACAAATACTCCAGTGTGTCATGGTGTACAGGAGGCCCATGATACAGTGTCCCATATGTCTTGAATCAGCCCATGTATTATGATCACCAATCCATGTGGTCTGGCACATATGCCACAGTCTCATGCACAACAAGCAAGCCAATCTCCCAGTGTGCCATCTGACTGGATTCAGCTCGAGTTGAAGTGTTCCACCAATTATGGGCCAGCCATAGTCGATATTTGGGAGAGGTATATGGAAAATAACTTGGCTCAGGATGGCATATAATATCTATAGAACTATCTTTACATGGACCCCCTATTGGATAAGTGTAGGTTATATGGAATGTCCCACTGGACCTGCAGGCATCAACCAAGTCTGGACATTCTGAACTCTCATCCAATCCCCATGGGGTATCCCTATCCAATTTTGTATGTTGTCCCTCATGTAGTAGGCAAAGCAACATTGGTTCCCACCCACAGAACTGACCCCATGTTGAAGAAGCTGGCTGGAAAATGCAACTACAGTGCCAGGGTTGTAAAGGAACTGAAGGCCAAGCATGGGGATATCCAATACACAATCTTCATAATCACCAACCATGACCAGCATGTCATACCAATCAGACTGTGAGTGTGGGTCCTGGTGAAAGGGTGTGGTCTGGTTAGAGATTACAGAGACATTAGTAAAAACTGATGGCCAGTGCTGCAAGGCATCCTGCATATCTTGGTTATGCTGACTTGACCATGTGTCCAACAACTGCATGGCTTGCCTTCCAGCATCATACAGGCCTGGGTGCATAATCAAAAGCACACTGGAGAGGATGGCAGCTGGGAAGTAAGACTGCTGGGACCATTCATGACTGGCATCCATCTGTAGGTCAGTGGAAACTGATGGGGAAAAGTTCATGGTCTGGATGCCACTTGAGAGACATACCCCTGAGGTAATATAACCATACCATATGCCCCTGTTGGTGCCTGGCTGGGGAAAACTCCAGGCACCCTGGTGACCATGAAGTGTGATTGAAATATTCAGCATTTTTCCACCAGGAGCCACTTGTCATACTCTTGGACATTGCATGGTGAAGGGGGTCCAGAGTGGCAAGCAAGTGTGTCTGCAGGGATGTCTGAATAATATAGAGTGTAAAGGAAATGTTCAAACTGACTTGTAAATCATTGGTGATGGTGCCAGGAAGGTACCACAATGCAATGGTATTGGTGGTACCAAGGATTACCATAGGTTCATCCACAAAGCTGGTGAGACTTGATGGATGCACTGCCAGGTGGCCTGCCTCCTGGGTTTCATCAACCCCCAATTCCATAGCTGAAAGGTGCTCAGAAAGCTGGATCAGATTGATGCCACTTTGCTCTGCAATACAATTTACATTTGATTTTACATTCAGCCAGGACATCAGCTTACTTCTATTATTGTATGCTGCATGCATGCTGGCCACTATCTGATTCATAGCAACAATGCTGTGTGTTGGAATGTGGAGTGGAGGATCTGGTTTGGGGGCATTCAGTCCCAGGAAGGTTTGACTGGAGAATTCCTGGCACATATAGTGTGTAATATCCTGGGTGGTGCTGTGATTTATTGCCATTAAGAATGGAAGACAATATAGCAAGCATGGTGTTGATGATGGGTTATCTGGTAGCTGTAGTGTGTAGTATGGAACCATGGCCATGTATGCTGGTGTTTTCCAGACCATAGTGAAGCTGCCATGGTTACACAGCATTGGTAAATGACCATTCCAGCCTTCAAAAACAGGTGCCACCATGGTGGCATAGTACCTCCAGCTTCCACATACACATATTATTCCAACATGGTACAGGTACCAAGATAGATGCAATAGATGGCAAGTTCTGCTATGGATCCAGTGCTAGCTACACTTCCTACCACACTGGTTCCATTTCATGGTGTTCATGTTGCTTTATACACCATGCCAAAGCATTAAATGATGGACTGGGGCCTTTCAACCTAATTTCATACTCCACAGCCATTGAGAAAACATGATGCAGCCTTTTCTAGTACAGGTCTGGCAGTGCCAGTAATGCATGGATACAATGTTCTGCTACAGGTTTGGCACTAGCTATACTTCCTACAATGCTGGTCATATTTCAGCATGTGGACCTTTCATTATACACTGTCCACAAGCATTGGACAATAGCCTGGGGACTTTCCAACTAATTGCCTATTCCACAGCCATTTAGAAAATGCAATACTGCCTTTCCCAGTAATGGTCTGGCAGTGCTGGTAATGCATAGATACACTACAGTATCAACATTGGTCTTGTTCAGATTGATATCCAGCAACTTGGCTCATGATAACTGCTGTGCCAGGATAGGCCACTTGCTATTCTGGCCTCCCAGTGTGAGTCAAAGTGTGGTTCAGTGGTGAAAACCAACCAAAACCAACACAAAAGACAAAAAGAGTGAGTGGTGGTGTGCCTATGCGGTACCTAGATGGTAGAACCTTTGATTTGGGTGGGTTTTTGCGAGCTACAACACTCAAGGATGAGTGCTGAGGGTTGGGGGTGCTCCTGACAAAGAGGGAGCAAGAATGCAATAGAAAGTGATAGGGTAGACTGCTGTCAGCCTACAGAAGGATGGATGGCAACTTAATTCAATGTCCTAAGCTGCACTGAGTTCAGGGGGGGCTTGGAGTGAAGTATATTGATGATAGACAAGGATAAGCAAAGTAGATGATAGTTAGACCCTTAATAAAGTCTCAACTATTGAAGCTGCTGAATGAATTACTGAGTGATGATAAAATGCAAGCAAGAGGGGCTCTCTGATGTCTTCTTTTTTAGGGGTGTTGCCCTTGGAAAACAGGGTGCAAACACTTGGTAAGTGATTGGTAACTGATGAGTAAGGAATGTAAGTGATGGGTAATCATCTTGGAAAGCATTGGTGAGCATTGGTAAGGATAAGCAAGCCAAAAGGTGAAGAATCAGTAAGCAAAGTCAAAAGATTGGTAAGTATTGGCAATAGGTGAGTCAAAGACAGTTAGAACATCAAAGTATGAGTCAAGTAATGTCAGGAACTGGGAAAGTGCACTGGAATTGCATTAGGGGGAGGCTGTGCATGTCACATCTCAAAGAGATTGTTTCAGGCCAAGGTGGGATGACAGAGAGGCAGTGCTGATCTGATGCTGATATAGTACATCCAAAAGTGGACAGGGTGAGTCAGATGTCAACAGGGGTCAAGCTTTGGGGGTCTGTGGGGTGACAGGAGCATAGGGGATTGCAACTTTCCCCCAAACCATCCTCTCAGTGAAGCAAATAAAAACTTCATGAATGAGGCTCTGTTGGAAGAGAGGATGAAGGGGGAGTGTCTTCTGCTGTATCTTGCAACAAGGAGGCAAGATGTGCATCATACTCATCATGGATGCAACCAGGGAGAGTGGAGAACAGTAGATTATACTGTAGCTGCTGCAATCTTGGAAGTATGATGGACAAGACTGGTATGAAGACATTGCAGGGAGCAGGGAGGAAGGATCCATATGCTTCTTGGACTGGAGAGACTGAAATGACCACATAAGACCTTTCCAAGCAAATGACAGACCTGAGGCAACCAAATCATGTCCTCCTAGAGGTCATACTGACAAAAAGAACATGCTGTCCAAGCTGGATGGGCTGAGAGGGCACAGATGAGGGTGGGATGTACCAGGATGCTTCAGGACAGAAGCTGGTAGGAACTCCTGGTAGATATATGTAGCCATGGTCCCTAGCAAAGGGGACAAGTGAAATGATTGACATGGAGGTGGCCATATCAGAAGAATTTAGCAAAATGAGTGTCTGTTGGAGGGAGTGCTGTAGAAACATGTGGAGTGTGCAAATCCTTTCCAATTTTGGCAGGTAGGATCGCATGGCTGAGCACTACAAGTGAGTGTGGGAATGGTCTCAGTATCTGCAGAAATGGTGGAGATATGTCAAAAAACAGAATGCCATACATGGATGCTTAAGAATTTTAACCAGTGCTTAACTCACTCCCTTTCCCTTTCTTTGGTACTGATGACTCATTCTTGTGTGAGGGATGACTGCCAACATTTCTGGCTGTCCTTCTTCACATGAGGGCTATGGTCTTCATCTCCATTCATCAGCTGTATCCATGTCCACCTCACCAAACACCTTTGGTGTGTGACATTGCATGGCCTCTGGGCCTGGCATTCGAATTTCTACCCACCAGATCAACTCCTGACATAGATAAGTGTGTGTAATTGTGTTATGGATGTATACCTACAATCATTAGGTGATATGACTGTCTTATCATTCTGGGCTGCTGTAGAATGCTGTAATGAGAGGATTAACCAAGTGTGCATGGAAACTGATCATTGGATCTGATTCTTGGCTTGGGCTTGGGCTTCCTTGCAGTTGAATCACCACCATCATTCGCATGATTGTCTGATACAATTCTATCAGCAATGTTCATTGTTGCTGGATACCACTTACCAGCTGGCTTGGGGTATGCAGTAGCTGTATTGCCCCAGTCTGATGTGGACTGGTTCCATCGTCTGTTGTCCTCCTGTGCATTAGATGTTCCAGTGGGATGATCTTTGGCACACAATTCCAAGGTCATGTTAGGGTTACCAGTAAAGAATCTGACCAGCTCCAACATACCATCTATCCATTGCTGTTTGGTGGAAGGTTTTGTGGGAGGAGCTGGTTCCTTCTCCAAGTGATGTCCATAGTTGGAGCCATCAATGGAATTTACTTAATGTGTGATCAGTTATGTATATCCAAATTGATCATGACCTCACTTTCTGTCCAGGGTCTCTTCCCTTTGGCTTTGTCTGACCAGTGTTGGTGTTTGGAAACTGGCTCCTCCAGGGAACCATCCTGAGATCTCCACCTTTGGAACCAGAAGACATCTTCTTGGTGCTCCTGCTGTCACTCCTTCCAGAACTCCAAGGTTTCAATTAGTTCATGATGTGTCAGCCTGGTGGGCTCTTTGAACAGGATATTTGGAGGAAGATACTTGGAAGACACATAGGATGCCTGGTTGTCAGCTATTGCAGCCCAAGGTACACTGGCATTCATCTTCCCACAAGCCAAGCCTGTGTTTAGATGTTAGTAACTCATCAACCATGGAAATTGGCACATACAATAATGGCTGGTTATGAACACCCTCATGATGTCCTTTAATTCCAGTGTCCATAAGTCCAAGAGATTTGGAAGAATGGGCATGCCATCATCATTGGTGGACAGGGAGAATTGAGACTGCTTTTTTCCTTTCTGTGCTTTTACTGTGGTTTGACTGGCCTCATCCTCTCTGCTGCCATCCTCCATACCATTGGCCCCAAAGGCCTTCTTTGTGTAGGCTGACCACTTTCCATGAAGGTCTTCCCAATCTGAATAGAGCTCTCCATCACCCAGTTTGTCATTGAAGTCATTCCTACACTGGTCAGATGTGATGAAGCCTGTCAGGAAAGCACTCACACTCCAACCATCACTTCACCTTCCTTATCCTTCCATGCCAACATGATCACCACTCTCATCCCACACTGCTTCCACATGTCATATGCAAACTGTTTTGCATACTTCTGGCCCTTAATTGTTGCCACCCTGCATTTAAGTTAGTATTGCCCATGGGAGAACTTGGATGCTTACTCTGCCTGGGCTTTGGGTGGTGGCTTTCTCTCATTCCACTCTTTTGCCAAATGGGCTGCCTGGTCCAATTCAGCCTTGGTCAATGACCGGACTACCTTCTGAATGGCTGGCTGATAGTGTTTGATCATAGCCAATGTCCCAGGATGTATTCCAGCCTTCACAAGTACTTGCTGGATATCCTTCTTATGCTGCAGCTTGATCACCTTTAGGGCTGTCCATTTGGAGCCATACTTGATCAGGGCCTTCCATGCCCAGGACTGACTGTTGTTATACATCCAGTTCTTGACAGCCTGTAAAATATACTTAACATGACTGCAAGCACATCAAAACCATCAAGCTTACTGTCCATTTTCTATTCCATTCATTTTGTTTGAGGCTCTTGTTGGCATCCAGCCATTTGATTTTGTTCTGCATGCCCTCCATCAGTGAGGCCCTTTTGTTTGTGTCAGCTTCCTTCCAATCATTTAGACCATCTTGGAGGATTTGGAGTTCATCTGGTCTCAGCTTTCCTGGTGCAGATTTTGTTGTCTCCATGCTATCTGAGCTAGATTCCTCATTGGAGGAAAAGTCCTCCTCATCTGAGGTATTAGCACAATTAGTACTGTGATCACTGCTGGCCATTCTGAATGTTGGAGAAGGTGTTGGGGTTGGTTAGTTGCAGGTAATGTTACCCTCTGTTGAAAGAAAATTTGGAGTCTGTTCCTCATAGTTACCATCACCCATTCTTGAATAAAGTTCCAGGGGCCAAGTAATGTTCCAGTCGTGATACATACCCATTGTTAGTATGGTCTTGTTCCAGTTGATTGGTACCATGGCCAAACATGGTAAGCTGATTCATCTATCATCCAGTCTGCTACTATATATAGATAAAGTATAGTTTGATCCTGATTGGATCTTCTGACATTGATTCTGAGATCCAAATCAAATCATAGTCATGCCAGGCATCACAATGAGGGTTGTATGGCTGAGGCCGGCAGACATCCTGCAAGGACTTGATACTAGACATGGGCAAATCACAAATTGCCCAAGCTGCAGTGGCCACCCCAGTAACCCATGCCACTTGGAAAAAGGTGAAAACAACCAGGGGATCCAAAGAAAAGATGGTCAAGTTTACTCTGAGAAAGAAGGCAAGATATGCAACTGGCCAAAGCAATGAATCACCTAGGGCAGGATCTTCGAGCATCCAGGAACCCAATTTAGTCCAGGGTAATGATGCTGACCTATATTGCTACATGGATGATGCATCACCACCAAGGACATCAAGAATTCCAAAAAGCCAGGTGTGCATTATCAAACATCCTGGTGTTGGCAATGTGTGCCTTATGGTATTACAGAACAGTTATCTGGAAGAGTGGCTGCCCTATAAGAGTAGATACCTGTCTGTGCTCCTGGACATGGAGGCCCCACCCAATGTCATGGCTTGTTTTGTGTGTAAAGCAGAAGGGGCACCATATAGATGCATGGACTATGCTCATCACCCATTGTCTTGTAAAACATGTTGCATCAAGCAACACAAACTCAGACCATTCCATCAGGTACAAAAATGGAATGGAAGATTATTTGAAGACTTCACTCTACAGCTGGTGAGTTCCAGTTTCAACCCATCATCTGTGATGACTGATATCATAGGTTGGTTTGGTGCTACACTTGGGCCATGCTGGAGCACCATGCTCAGCAGGAGAAGGTTCTTGGGAGGATGCTGCAAGCCATGTAGATGAAGAGTGGGAGGACATTGAGGAGAGTCAATGACCAGCACATCTCAACCCACCAGATGATAGAAACTATCTGACAGTTGTGGACACTGGTGGCATGCACTTTTGCAATGTGCAGTATTGCAACTGCCCTGGGTCTGAGGATTCACACCCTCAGCTTACTATGGCCAGCCTATTCCCAGCTATGACTAAGGCACTAAGGATGGCTTTCACTTTCCAGGTGCTGGACAACTTCATCAGGGACAATGTTGAATATGGAACCTCTGCCATGAACTATTATAGCAAACTTCAGAGAGTCACCTCAAGCATGTTTCCTCACCTAGTGCCAGCAAGTGTGATCACCCCTGGCCTACCATATGCCACATTGCTCATGCCAGTTGAAGAATAGCTATAGGGAATTGCTCAGGGTGTTGAGAATGTGGAGGATCCTAAAGCTGTTGAAATGGCAGGGATTCCATCAACAGTTGCCTGATACCTGGGCCAGTGAACTTGTCCTCTTCTGCCCTGCCTGTCCCCAGCCAGGGATCAATGTACCAGATCAGGATATCGATCTCTCTGAGTCCATATTCTATTCATTATTGCACAGGCATTGTTAGCCTGACTTGTGTAGCTGGCAGTTTGCTAGGACCTTTGTGATGGATGGTAACTTCAAGGCTGAGCATATGCTGCCCAAGAATGCTGCCCAAAAGGTCTGGCTCATGGATGGAAATGGCTTCATGGTCACATCAGCTCCATACAAGGAATATTTGACCAGGACCATAAATTGAATAGAAGTTGTGTGCCATGATCTCTCCAAAGGCACTGGACTGATTGTGTTGTGCAGAAATCTGACTGCAATAACCACCAGGCTGTTAATCAAGCAAATGCACAAAGGAATAAGTTGGAATTGGCTGGGATTGGTGGATGTGCCTGTGTGAGGCATGGTTGTTTTGTACCTCATGCAATGGTTAACTTTCAGAAGGGAGAGCAGTATGCACCAATTCATAGTCCCCAGTCATGACTAACAATATAGCAGGCAGGTCAATATGGATTATGCTCTGGTCCATGCCATGCACCATGGATTGGACCCCTGGCAACTGGTCATAACCTTTTATGACATCAATTGTCAGTATAGCAAGAACTTGGCCCACTGGCTTGAGGAAAACAGATATCTCTCTCTGCCTTCCAGATTATAGATTCAGCCCAGCATTGGACTATGGCATGTCCATGACCATCAGACAGAGTGCTTCACCAGATATGCTCCAAACTTTACTCCAGGTGCCAGCCAGGTGGATGGTGAAATCATGGAGACCCTCTGGTCTTCTCTCAACATAATCTCACCATCAGCCCAGGGAATGGCAACAGCACACCATCAGGAGTTGCTGGACTTCCAAATGAATGATAGTAACTTCCTCAAAATGATATGGATGTGTATGTCATCACAGTACCTGGTTGAGCATTGCTTGATTACTTGCACATAGCATCAGCATTGAATGGAAGTTCAAGGTTGCCAAGCAGTCATTAGCAACAATCCAAGATAAATTCAATGAGTTGGATAGCAAGGTACTGGATGGCTTGTGTCAGTTATGGGTGGAACAAGAACTTGTGGTGCAGTCATGCCGGCAGAATACTCCACAGGCCATGGACATATATGAAGTCCAGCTGGAGAAGGGTAAGGGGGCCAACTGTATCATCTGTCCCATACATACATCATGGTAGCACCCACCATGAAAGCCATTGAGATTGACCTAATCCATAACAACTGTTCATTCAGCAGCTCATGTGGTTCAGCTACTTGGATTGCATGGGCATTAAAGGTTGAGCAGGCTCAAATAGTGCTTGCTATGGATACATGACAGATGGACACCAGGGCAACAGAGGCAGACTGGTTGTCAATTTCATGCTGGCAAGACCAGTTGCAATCACAGATTGATGCACTAGTACATGGAGCAGCCCAGTTCATCGGAAATGACTGGCAAGTTAACCCCAGGCAAAGGCCCAGAAGTATAGCCCCATTTGACAGGGACAGTAACAATGAAACTGATGATCCATTCCTCCCTGATGATCCTGGTCACCAGGAGGTCAGTGATGTTCCACTGCCATCATATATCAGAGTACAGTATTTCCATGACATTGGCCTCAGCAATCTTGTGGAACAGGAAATACATCTGAGACAGGGCCAGGCAAATGATGCATTGCATGAATTGCATCTGGCCCTCATGGACAAGGCCATGATATTTCATACAGATGTCCAGAAAGGAGGGAACTACAAAATGACAACCTGGGCATGGGGGTGGATATCCAATGCAGAGGCAATGGTTCAGTGGCATGCTGCAATTGCAGACCCAAATGCAAGAGGTCATTGTGATGACACTCTGACCTGGTTTTGGACTATGGACCTTCCCCAGGATTCTGCCATGAATGACAGGATGTTGGAATGTAGGCAGATCAATCAGGCTTGTGTGAAATACTGACTGAATTATCACAGTTTATCAAGTCAACTGGCTGCATACAAAAGCACTATGGGATTGCTGGGAAGAAGAGCTAGAGTTACTCACACTGGAGACTGGGTGGACACAGAAATGCTTCTCACACAAGGAGAAATTCTGGAGTGGCCAGCATATGGAGGCATTGGCAGTGGGCAATACTGGCTTCACATGTTATATGGCTAGGCAGTCCCAGATGTATTGGGATTTAGCCAGAACACTAGGATGTACTTCAAGATATGAATTGGAAGAGTAATGTGCATATATCTCTAGATAGTATGAAACCAGGGAAATTACATATCAAGATCCTAATGAGATGTGTAATGAGGACAGCACCCTACTTATTGGTGGCTTCTGGCTGGGTAACTGAATTGACTCAGAAGTACTCAAGCTGGTCCTGTACTTGTCCAGGCCTGTCAAAAAGGGTGAGCCATTCATTGCAGAATTCCATCACACCATGGAGTCAGCAAATCTCCTCCTCCTCCTGATGGATCATCTTGTCACAGCTTTCAATCAACTGGCTGATGCTGTCTGATGGCATCTGGTCCATGTCACACAGCAGTGGGAGACTGTCTTTTCCTTCCTATGGCATGGATGAATTCAATGGAATGATTGAAAAATGACCACCATGCACCTCAACCCCAACAAAGAATTCCTTGGCCTCCTGCAAAACTTCCTCCAATGACTGATGATCATACCCATCCAGATGGGTAGGGTCCCTTGTCCACCATAGGACCAGTGTGGATCATACATCTCACCTCACCTCTTTTGACCTGCAGCACATTCAATGCCATGATGTGTGCCAGCAGGGCAGTCTCTCCCATATTTTGTGTGGCCATCCACCAAAGCAGTTCATTGGCAACATATGGGACTTTCATGATTGCCCCATATAAGTTGCAGGTAGCCAGGGCCTGCTTCAATATATGCTGTGGAAAAGTGTGTGACACAGTGAACTAGCATCCATTTCAACAAACTCACTGTTTCCACCTGAACCTGCTGATACCAGTCATCTGGCAGTCAATCACTTGGGTTGTTGGCCTGCTGCAAAGCATATGTGAACCATTTAAATTGGACACCAATGTATTGGATGATCATGGAGAGGTAGGATAGATTAGCAGTCCTGACATCCATGGTGATTTGGAGTAGAGTTGGATCAGGTGCAAATGTTGTTACATAGCAATGTGGCTGACACATGTGATGACTGCAAGATAAGAGATCATCAATAATCACATCCCAGTGTCACACACCAAAGGTGTTTGGTGAGGGGGACATGGATACAGCTGATGAATGGAGATGAAGACCATAGCCCTCATGTGAAGGACAGCCAGAAATGTTGGCAGTCATCCCTCACACAAGAATGAGTCATCAGTGCCAAAGAAAAAGAAAGGGAGCAAGTTAAGCACTGGTTAAAATTCTTAAGCACCTGTGTATGGCATTCCAGTTTTTGACATATCTCTGCCATTTCTGCAGATACCAAGACCATTCCCACACTTGCTTGTAGTGCTCAGCTATGCAATCCTACCTTCCAAAATTGGAAAGGATTTGCACACTCCACACATTTCTACAGCACTCCCTCCAAAAGACACTCATTTTGCTAAATTCTTCTGATATGACCACCTCCATGTCAATCATTTCACTTGTCCCCTTTTCTAGGGACCATGGCTACATATATCTATCAGGAGTTCCTACCAGCTTCCATCCTGAAGCATCCTGGTACATCCCACCCTCATCTGTGCCCTCTCAGCCCATCCAGCTTGGACAGCATGTTCTTTTTGTCAGTATGACCTCTAGGAGGACATGATTTGGTTTCCTCAGGTCTGTCATTTGCTTGGAAAGGTCTTATGTGGTCATTTCAGTCTCTCCAGTCCAAGAAGCATATGGATCCTTCCTCCCTGCTCCCTGCAATGTCTTCATACCAGTCCTGTCCATCATACTTCCAAGATTGCAGCAGCTACAGTATAATCTACTGTTCTCCACTCTCCCTGGTTGCATCCATGATGAGTATGATGCACATCTTGCCTCCTTGTTGCAAGATACAGCAGAAGACACTCCCCCTTCATCCTCTCTTCTAACAGAACCTCATTCATGAAGTTTTTATTTGCTTCACTGAGAGGATGGTTTGGGGGAAAGTTGCAATCCCCTATGCTCCTGTCACCCCACAGACCCCCAAAGCTTGACCCCTGTTGACATCTGACTCACCCTGTCCACTTTTGGATGTACTATATCAGCATCAGATCAGCACTGCCTCTCTGTCATCCCACCTTGGCCTGAAACAATCTCTTTGAGATGTGACATGCACAGCCTCCCCCTAATGCAATTCCAGTGCACTTTCCCAGTTCCTGACATTACTTGACTCATACTTTGATGTTCTAACTGTCTTTGACTCACCTATTGCCAATACTTACCAATCTTTTGACTTTGCTTACTGATTCTTCACCTTTTGGCTTGCTTATCCTTACCAATGCTCACCAATGCTTTCCAAGATGATTACCCATCACTTACATTCCTTACTCATCAGTTACCAATCACTTACCAAGTGTTTGCACCCTGTTTTCCAAGGGCAACACCCCTAAAAAAGAAGACATCAGAGAGCCCCTCTTGCTTGCATTTTATCATCACTCAGTAATTCATTCAGCAGCTTCAATAGTTGAGACTTTATTAAGGGTCTAACTATCATCTACTTTGCTTATCCTTGTCTATCATCAATATACTTCACTCCAAGCCCCCCCTGAGCTCAGTGCAGCTTAGGACATTGAATTAAGTTGCCATCCATCCTTCTGTAGGCTGACAGCAGTCTACCCTATCACTTTCTATTGCATTCTTGCTCCCTCTTTGTCAGGAGCACCCCCAACCCTCAGCACTCATCCTTGAGTGTTGTAGCTCACAAAAACCCACCCAAATCAAAGGTTCTACCATCTAGGTACCACATAGGCACACCACCACTCACTCTTTTTGTCTTTTGTGTTGGTTTTGGTTGGTTTTCACCACTGAACCACACTTTGACTCACAGCAATGGACAGGGAAGATAGACTGTTGGATCAAGCAGAAGAAGATGGTGTGGCTTGTTGCCCAGAGTGGAATTATAGGTCCCCATGGCAGCCTGATGATAATTATCCTACTCCAACCATGAGGAGGTGAAGGTAGAATTGAGGCCAGTACCTAATGTTTTCCAGTAGACTGGCAACAACCATATATAGTGCACAGTGCAAGAATTGCCAGTGAATTACTGGCCCCATAGCTACCATGTACCATAACCCACTGTCATAATCCAATTGTGGCCAATTTGTGCACTTCTCCAATTCCATTTAACATAATGTTCATTGAAATGAGTTAACTATACAAATTAAAGCTGGTCTGGTTTAAGACAGTAGCCTACACCTGCCAGCTCTTCCTCCAGAAGATCTGCTAACTGTTGCCAGAATCTGGTAAGCATGGCATGCTACTTAACATGTGATCACCACTCCCTGGTTGCATCCACCAGGGTATTGGCATAATACCTATATGCAGTGATCAGATTGGCATCATGTGCAGCATTGATGTCTGGCTGACATGCCCCACTCCTAGCCATGATACTGGAGACCTGCCTTGACATTTGAACTGGTAGACATGTTTAGCTATGGTTGTGTAGGAACTTCTGGACTTACACTCAGTTTGTGGAGTATCAACTCCCAGCTGTATAGCAAACTCCTGGGAGACTGCTAAAAGCTCTGAATGTGACAACAGGATTGGCACCAGTGATGGGGATCTAGCCAGTGGTATTGATGTGGAGCTGAATGATGCAGGAGTGTCTGAAAGGTCCATAGGTTGATGAGGACCAGGGAAATTGCCACTGGGCAATGCACATGTTGTTGGGCTGGGAACTGGGATAGGATTGCAGCAGGCTGGTGACATAGAGGGTGTTAAGGACCAAAATTGGGGCTCATGCAATAGGATGAACAGTCATGATGATTGGCCAGCTGCTTGAGTTGGGTAGATGTAAGCTGATGATCTTGTGGCAGCAGGCAACTGAAATGCCAGTTTTTGTAAAGGACTGACTGGTGGGGACTGAAATGGTGGGGGCAACCCCCAAGGTGGCTCATGCAATGGCATACCTGGGGCAACAGGCAGTGGTAATTTGTCCCATGCTGGCTCTATCAAAGGTGATCTGGGCGAACCAGAGGACTGGAAGGAGGGTTCCATTCCAGTTGTGCATATTGTTTGAGCCAGGGACAGCTCGAAAGGTGGCTCATGTAATGGGGATGATGGTGCATCCAGCAGGTCATCTTCAGTAAACATTTCCTCATCCTCATCAAGAGATGCAAGCCACTGCATATCATGGTGTGACAGAATTACTGCACACAGTCATTAGAAGTAATGGTCCTTGGACTGGTTGACTTACAGAGTTTATCTGGACTGCAACAACATGAGAGGCCAATGTGAAGGATCATGCATGGCATTGCCTTTGTCACCAGCCTAAGTCTCACCCATATTACAAGGTCATGGAGGAGCTTACCAGGCCTTTGTTGAGGGCCAAGCACCAGGCACAGCCAGTGGATAAGGGGAAGGGGAAAGAGTTGGGTATGGATGAGGCTCAAGGGATTTGGCTTCCAGGTGAGCACTAATTCTGAGGATGGCAATTGGGTAGACTGCTGATATGGGATCCAAAGATGCACCCACAGACACTATGGCTAGGACCACTGGAGTTGTGATGCAGAAGCCAGGAAATGAGGAGGATCAGAACAGGGAGAAGGCACAGGGCTGTAGCCAGTCAAGACATGGCTGGCCAGCAGCCAAGCCTGTCAATGCCAGTGATCAGACCAGTAGAGGGCAGAGCCAGTCAAGGAGACCAACAAAGAAGACAAAACCAGCAGTCAACAAGGATGTGCAGGACCAGTGAGACATCAACAACCCTCCTGGGTCCTGGGAGGTGGTGCTGGAAGCTGAGTGGTGTGTGAGATGCCAGTGTCACACACCAAAGGTGTTTGATGAGATGGACATGGATACAGCTGATGAATGGAGATGAAGACCATAGCCCTCATGTGAAGAAGGACAGCCAGAAATGTTGGCAGTCATCAGTGCCAAAGAAAAAGAAAGGGAGCAAGTTAAGTGCTGGTTAAAATTCTTAAGCGCTTGTGTACAGCATTCTGGTTTTCAACATATCTCTGCCATTTCTGCAGATACCAAGACCATTCCCACACTTGCTTGTAGTGCTCAGCCATGCAATCCTACCTTCCAAAATTGGAAAGGATTTGCACACTCCACACGTTTCTGCAGCACTCCCTCCAAAATATGCTCATTTCACTAATTCTTCTGATACAGCTGCTTCCACATCAATCATTTCATTTTTCCCCTTTGCTAGGGACCATGGCTACATATATCTACCAGGAGTTCCTACCAGCTTCCATCCTGAAGCATCCTGGTACATCCTGCCCTTGTCTGCCCCCTCTCAGCCCATCCAGCTTGGACAGCATGTTCTTTTTGTCAGTATGACCTCTAGGAGGACATGATTTGGTTGCCTCAGGTCTGTCATTTGCTTGGAAAGGTCTTATGTGGTCATTTCAGTCTCTCCAGTCCAAGAAGCATATGGATCCTTCCTCCCTGCTCCCTGCAGTGTCTTCATACCAGTCTTGTCCATCATTCTTCCAAGATTGCAACAGCTACAGTATAATCTACTGTTCTCCACTCTCCCTGATTGCATCCATGACAAGTATGATGCACATCTTGCCTCCTTGTTGCAAGATACAGCAGAAGACACTCCCCCTTCATCCTCTCTTCCAACAGAGCCTCATTCATGAAGTTTTTATTTGCTTCACTGAGAGGATGGTTTGGGGGGGAAAGTTGCAATCCCCTATGCTCCTGTCACCCCACAGACCCCCAAAGCTTGACCCCTGTTGACATCTGACTCACCCTGTCCACTTTTGGATGTACTATATCAGCATCAGATCAGTGCTGCCTCTCTGTCATCCCACCTTGGCCTAGAAGTGATCTCTTTGAGATGTGACATGCACAGCCTCCCCCTAATGCAATTCCAGTGTGCTTTCCCAGTTCCTGACATTACTTGACTCATACTTTGACATTCTAACTGTCTTTGACTCACCTATTGCCAATACTTACCAATCTTTTGACTTTGCTTACTGACTCTTTGCCTTTTGGCTTGCTTATCCTTACCAATGCTTACCAATGCTTTCCAAGATGATTACCCATCACTTACATTCCTTACTCATCAGTTACCAATCACTTACCAAGTGTTTGCACCTTGTTTTCCATAGGCAACACCCCTGTACTGTATATAAATCACTGTACTTAGATAGCAAAAAAAAAAAAAAGAAAGAAGATGATGTCAGAGAGCCCCTCTTGCTTGCATTTTTATCATCACTCAGTAAATCCTCCATCAGCTTTGATAGCCAAGACTTTATTAAGGGTCTGACTATCATCTACTTTGCTTATTATCATCTATCATCAATCTACTTCACTCCAAGTCCTCCCTGAGCTCAGTGCAGCTCAGAGCATCAAATCAAGTCATCATCCATCCTTCTGTAGGCTGACAGCAGTCTACCCTATCACATTCTCTCACATTCCTGCTCCTTCTTCATCAGGAGCACCCCCAACCCTCAGCACTCATCTTTGAGTGTTATAGCTTGCAAAAACCCTCCCAAAGAACAGGTTCTACCATCTAGGTACCACATAGGCACACCACCACTTGCTCTTTTTGTCTTTTGTGTTGGTTTTGGTTGGTTTTCACCACTGAACCACACTTTGACTCACACTGGGACAGGAGTTGGCCCTGTATGGTGCTAGCTGGCAATGCCACTGTACCAAATACTCATGCAGCTTGTTCAAGGGGAGGGGAGACAAGTCCAAGATGCAGCAAAAAGCCTCCTGTTCAAGGCCTTGCTAGCAACAATCCCCAGAAGACATGGCCAGCCTTCCCACCACTTCAACACTGGCTGTGCCAGCTCCATTGACCAGTCAACAAGCCAAATGTCAAAGGGCACCAAGCTGAAATCAATCTGCCTCCATGGCATTGGTGCCAGGACAGCTTGACTGATGGCCTCATGGCATTGGGGATGTGCCAGAACTCATTACAATGGTGCTGTGACAGCCTGCATGATGGCCTCATGGCATTGGGGATGTGCCAGAACATATGGCATAGGTGCCAGGATGGCTTCCACAACATTGGTGTTGTGCTGGAACACATTACAATGGTGCTGGGATGGCTTGCATGATGGACTCATGGCATTGGGGATATGCCAGAATACATGGAACCGGTGCCAGGGCAGCTTCCATGGCACTGGTGTTGTGCCAGAACACATTACAATGGCATAGGTGCTGGGACAGCTTCCACAGCATTGGTGTTGTGCTGGAACACATTACAATGGTGCCAGAATGGCCTGCATGATGGCCTCATGGCATTGGGGATGTGCTGGCACTCATTACAAAGGTGCCAGGATGGCCTGCATGATGGACCTGTGGCATTGGGCAGTGCTGGTACACATTACAATGGTGCCAGAATGGCCTGCATGATAGGCCTCATGGTATTGGGGATGTGCTGGAACACATGGCATAGGTTCTGGGACAGCTTCCATGGCATTGGTGTTGTGCTGGAACACATTCTAATGGTGCCAGGATGGCCTGCATGATGGCCCCATGGCATTGGGGATGTGCTGGAACACATGGACCTGGTGCCAGTGCCAGCTCACAATACATCAGTGCCAGGACAGCTTCCATGATGGCCCCATGGCAGTGGCAATGTGCTGGAGCACATGGCATTGGTGCCAGCATGGCTTCCATGGCATTAGCATTGTGCCGGTTCACATTAAATCAGTGCTGGCTGGGATGGCTTCCATGGCATTAGTCCTGGGTTGGTGTTGGCCTGGCTCACATTGCATTGGTGCTGGGATGCCTTGAATGGCATTGGTATTGGGTCTGCCCAAGTGGAATTGATGCCAGGACAGCCAGCATGGCATTGGTGTTGTGCCAGCCTGTATGGCATTGGTATTGGGCCTGTTCATATTGCATTGGTGTTGGCTCAGCTCACATGGCATTCATCCCAGGATGGCCTGCATGGCATTGGTGGTGGGCTGGCCCACACGGCAATGTTGCTGGGATGGCTAGCATGGCATTGGTGTTGGGCCAGCTTGCATGACAGTGTTGCCAGGGGTGAACTCAGGGGCTGAGCCCATCCATACCTTCTGGGGACACCCAACTCTGGGCTTACCTGGGACTACTCATATTGCAGTGACTACACCCTAATCCAACAGCTGGCTTATACCCCATGATGACAATTCTAACCTCTGCCCAGTCATTCTCCATAATGACTCCCACTCTTGGGCTCAGCTGTATGCTATGGTGACACTCATTTATTGGGCTCTCCCATAGTCCATGATGACACTTACTCCCCAGCCTGCTTGTAACTGACAATGACAATTCAAACCACAGCTGCACCATTCCTCATGACAACATTTCCTCTCAGGCTCAGCTGCACTACATGGTGACACTCATCAGTTGGGCTCTCCCATACTACAAGGTGACAATAGGTTCATGGCTCTCATGTAACACATGTGCACAAGCCATACATGGGCTCAACCTCCACTGGCCTGTCACTGATGGCTGATTGTCAGCCTCCACTGACCATCTCATACAGTGCATGGGCTCCAGGGCAAGAGCAGTACATGCAAGAGTGGTAGGAGTGGTAGGGTGAGCAGTAGGGCAAGCAGTAGGACAGGGATGGGGTGGGCAGGTTTCAACAACTACATACTCATATGCCTGCATACTGGTCAAGTGACCAGGGAGTGGGTGGGCAGGTTTTGTATTTGCACTAGCTATGCATATAATGGCATAGTGATTTCGAGCCAAATTGTCTGAGCTATCGTTGCATATAAATGCATAGTGGAGTCATGGGCACAGGGATAGCTAGGTAGATATATGGCTGACTATGCTAATAGGTACATATGGATCAGCATATGCACGAATAGTGAATAATACTATGATAGTGTACATTTACAATGCAAATCTACTTGTTCCTATTTGCCTATATTTACGGATTACTACCTAGTCCGGCATATGGTGGTTTCTCACTGGGACTGAGTGGCAAGAGTCGTGCTATGCTCATCGCTGTCTGCAAATGCACGGGTAGCCCGCTGACTAAGCGGAGGGCGCGTGTGCGAGAAAATGAGCGTCGGGCAACTTGCAGGCTGCACGCAAGCCTTGCCCGTTCGCCGGTACTCAGTTCAATGCTACTGAAAGACACTGTACGTATGCCATGTAATTATGCACTAAATAAATGGGTATTCTGCGAAGAGACCCGCCCAAGTTTTGCTAGATGAGTGGTGTTCGGACGCGGGAAGCGGTCACGTGATCGCGACCTTTGCGCGGCAAGTTCTTACATCTGCCAAGACGCGAATATTACATAATAGGGGCAACATCCCGGGTCAACCCCCTAACCCCTCGTAACCCTTATGCTAGTGTGTCCCAAAGGTATGGGTTAAGAGGGGGTTCAACTGTAGTTGGAGACACACATTCTACGTGGATTACATCCACCCACCACCGTTCGACGAAGAGTGCGCCGTTTACTCCAACATGATTGGCAACGTCTCCCTATCCAACGACGGAGGTATAAACTACTCCTCTGACCACAACAGTCTCTTGGAGAACGACTCCTCCCGCTCCTCTCCCTACGAAGTCCCTGAGATCGAGGCCTGCCTTTACTATTTCGGTCTCCGGGGCCCCAGGCATCGCGGTCCCAAGCTGATCTTTCGGACGTCCAAGGATGCCTTCCCAGCGCCCTCGGGGCCAGAGCAACATCCTCGTCACATGAGGCTTCGGCCAGTCTATGACCACCACATACTTAGCAAGGGCGATCTGTGGCCCACGATTCGTTCCGAGGTTCGTGACCCCCTCGAAGCGCAACAATCTGCGGACTGACATTCGTTCCCAGGTTGTCAGACTTCTCGACCGGCGAAACATCCAGCTCTCATCTGTCGACCTTGTTCGTTTCAGCTGGGTTAAGCACGACGAGGAGAATGAAGAGGACGAAGATGACGAGGAGAAAGAGGACGACGAAGATGACGAGGAGAAAGAGGACGACGAAGATGACGAGGAGAAAGAGGACGACGAGGATGACGAGGAGAAAGAGGACGACGAAGATGACGAGGAGAAAGAGGACGACGAAGATGACGAGGAGAAAGAGGACGACGAGGATGACGAGGAGAAAGAGGACGACGAGGATGACGAGGAGAATGAGGACGACGAAAATGACGGGGGCGACGGGTACGACTCCGACATCGGGTTTTTGCCATCCAGGACAGTGGTTACCACACCCGTCACGATTTGGGTGGGAGTCTTGCCCGATACTCTTACCGGCGAGGTGGCATTCAAATCTTCCAACGACATCCTCGATCTCCTCAAGGAGCATGGCATTTTCGATGTCGATGTTGCGTACCGTGAGTCAGTGGCTAAGGGTTCCAGTGGTCCTGAACTGTTCGCACCCGTCTGGGATTTCGATCCCCTCAAGGCCGTCATCGATCCCGTGACTACGTCACTTAGCCTGCCTATTGCTGGCTTCGAGACGCTCTATAGCCAGGGAAAATTGGGTTTCTACTTCAGAGTGGGTCACAATCTGTACGCCGTCACGGCCCGCCACGTCCTGTTCCCTGAAAACGAAGGTAATAATGCATACTCCTACGTCGGTACGTTCTTTTCCCCGAAAAGATGAGCGCAATTCTGACCACACCTACAAAGCCGGGCCCAAGAAGGAGGTCGTCCTCATGGGCAGCAAAGATTTTAACGACTTCCTCGCGTCTATCCAGGACCATTTCGACATCATGCACCACACGGTTGGTATCTTGGAGCGGCGCGCTACTACGTTAACTGCTAGGGCGGAGGGCGATGGCCCTACCGCCAAGCAGGCGGCAAGGGAGCTGGAGGTGACTCGACGCCAGCTGCCCAAGACACGAGAGGCGATTGAGGCGCTCAAGAATTTCTTTGTGAAGATGAAGACGGAGTGGACGAGCCCGAAGGACCGGATCATTGGACACGTCGTCTGGGCACCTCCCGTCAGTGTCCATCCCGCCCCTCACAGTTATACGATGGATGTTTGCGTCATCGAGCTCGACAAGAAGAAGTTCTTGAAAAACTTCAGAGGCAACGTGCTCGACTTAGGTGCGTGCTGATCCATCTAGCTAAAGGCGTTTAATCTAACTGTTTATATTCCAGGCCCTGAGATCCAACCCGGCAAGTTTATGAGCTTGATGTACCCTCCCGTCGATTCGCCGTCCGACTTCGATTATCCAGTCGATCGTCTCCTCAAGCTCCGAGGCATTCTCTCCGCAGAAGAGATACGCACGCCGAATAACAAAGACCACAAAGGCGACCCCATGCGATACGTTATAAAACGCGGTCTCACCACGCTCACCACGATTGGCTGTTTGAATGGATTTGAGTCTCATGTTCGCCGCTACTTTGCCCTAGGCAGCCGCGATTCGGTAGAAACAGCAGTCTACCCCTATGATACCATCTCCGGTCCGTTCTCTAGGGGCGGGGACTCTGGGTCCATCATCGTCGACGCCCTTGGCAAGTTCGTCGCCCTCCTCACCGGTGGCACGGGACCAACCGATTCCTCCGAAATCACGTTTGGGACGCCAATGCACTGGCTCTGGGACATCATCAAGACTCAGTTCCCCGGTGCCGACCTCTATTTCGATGCCGACGACAACTAGGTTCGTCTCTCCCTTCTGCCTCATCCTTTCGTAATCTACTAGTTGGTTGTTGGAGCGGACGGATGCTTTAACTGGTGAACCGCTGCTTTGGTTCGTTTCTCTCCCCTTCCTCGTTCTTTCGTACTTACAACGAACGACCTTGACGTCCAGGCCCTGGATTCGGGCTCGTCATCCAGGTATGTCTAGTTCTTTTCCCGTTGTCCGTGCCGTGCAATTAGTAACGTTCGTCGACGGTTTAGGCCTTGGACTCATGGATTCGTCGCGTCGATTATTGTAGCTTCTCGTTGTCGGACACTCCCAACTTCCATGTACTATCTATCTCCCTCCCGACTCGTATGTTTCTCCCTCCCCTACCCCAACTCACTTGACTCTCCCCTCGTACAAACCCCACTCAGTTGTTACTCCCTCTATGCCAATTGGATATTATCGTTGATGTTGTTTAAATGGCGCGTGATAAGTCATGTTTTTGCTGGCCAGCCTGCACGTGCAACACCCCCACAACAATGATGAATGTGCAAAACAGCCAATCATGTTCGCCTCCGCCCGCAGTGTTAGCACTTCTACGAGGGGGATGACTCACCAACATTGATAATTCAAAGGTGCCAGGCTCTGGGACTTCGTAACGCGATATGAAGAACATAGAGTGGGAATACAAAACAACTGAAGACCAAGGCTCAAACGCTCATCAGAGAGAGACGGTTGTCTCGTAACGCATGCCAATTGGCCGCCACCTAGAACTTGTATGCATCTACCTGTGGTGTTTGAATTGATACGAAAAGTTGCTCACCGACGTTGATAATTCGAAGGTGCTCGAGCTCTGTCAGCACTGGTACATACGGTGCGAACACGGCTACTCACTATCGGGCCATGAAGTTAAGCAAAATTCAGTTGCCTGGAGTTTTCTTGATGCACCGGCAGAAACTAGCAACTAAGAATACTCTAATCGCGCCGCTGCACACTCGAGCAAGCGTGCTCACGCTGCCGAGGTGCTCAGTGTTGAGAGGTGTTACATCCGTTTGATCGGGTTGCAGTCGGTCCAGCCACAACAGCACATCACTAGTGCCCACAATCGGAGGTCCACCACAGGTCGAAAGTATGACTGACAGAGCCAGATTTTCGTTTGAAGACTCGAGTGAGCACATCCTATGATAAATCCATAGGCTCTTCCCCGCCACCTTCATCGACCGAGCCCATCCCGCCAGAGCCCTTCCTACGCAAATGCGGATAACACAACTCCCTCTCTTCCATAACGACCTCCACATCATCCTCATTCCAGTCGCTCGTCGTCTCCCACTCATTTTCGAACTCGATGTCCAGCGCAACTTCTGCATTCTCCGCATCGCTCAGAGGTAGAAAGGATGCGAGCCCGTAGGGGTTATACGCAATCGCATGTCCGGGTACAGTTGAAGATTGCGCTTGTGTTTGCACCCAGCGCTTCTCACGTAGCCGTTTGTGTCGTTCACGATCTTCTTCCATACGCTTGACTATGTCTCCTCGTGAAAGATGAGCTTCCGCATTTTTGTTTGTTGCGGTCGAGCCAGTGCCGGAAGCCACGGTAGCTTGGCTTTGGCGTGTGATGAGGATTTGCATGACTTGGTCTACCTTTTGAGGATCTATCACCCGCTTCGTGCGCCAATTTTGAAGGATCTGTGACGGCGCGTGAGTAATTGCATGAGCAAACCGAGCCCTCGGAAATCACGCAAGACCCTCGTCGTACAGCGAGGATCGGGAAGCTCACTTGTTTAGTGCTAGTAAGGTTCGGTAGACCTTGTCTGCCTACTGGTACCACACACTCTACGATCTGTGCAAGGTCTCGAGCGACATAATCGACGTAAAACGCGTGGTTCGCCTGTTTCGCCTGCCTGTTACAAAGTCCCAGTCAGTAAGTTATTCCAACGATGAGAAACCAAGGAAGCTCAGAACATGGAAAGGGACTCACGAAGACGATTCAACGGGCTGGGGTTGATGGGATTTAGCTAGTAGGGACGTTTCACATAGGGAGTCTAAGAAATATAGAATATTGACACGATGGTTTATCGAGCCCTGTGAACGAGCATAAAGGGATAATAAGCACTAATGTTTGACATAGCCTGGACTGGTTCGTCCCCATTCATCAAGGAACCAAGGTAGAAGAGAAGGAATTGCAGCGTTACGTGCCTTCTGACATTCCTCCATGATGCATTCCCATAAATCCTCCCCGCATTTTGCGAAATACTTGAGTGCATAACTGACGACCTTTTGGATGGATTGTTGCGTGCTACATGTCAAATACCCCATTCAACGGAAGGTAAAGTGATCTTTAATGGCCGCCGTCGTTGACCCAGTCAGAGACACTCACGCGCTGAGCTTGCGCAACAAGCCAAGGAATTGCATGCGCACTTCGAACGGATCCATTTGAACGTCTTGGGAACGACGGTTGTCCCAAGAAGGCGTCAACAAACAGACGTTCGACTATGAAAGGGCGATGGAAGTGGACTCGGCACTAGTGGATGATGGTCGGACTGAAACTGAGCGGTACGGCGACGGCGCGCCGGTCCACATCCAGTTTGGCACCAGTGAGAAGTATAGGATAACACAACGGTCAATCATCGAAAATCTCAACTTGGGACCTGCGATGCGACGTAGACCGTCCATCATTGGAAACGGACAGGAGACGGGTCACAACTCAACGCTGAGGTGGAAAATCCAATCTGAGTCGAATGTATTGTTGACTACTCTCCATATCATAAAAATATCTACCACTAAAGCACGCTGGAACTACTTTCCGTTGTCCCTGCAGCACCGACGTCCATTGGTACATGCAACGCATCCAAAATGCCTTCGAGCTGGTCGTTTCCGCCTAACCTGGCTATTTCCGCACGGACCTGTCACAGTAGGGCGATAAAATTAGCTGTGGGTGAGGACCGGAACCGTTCGAATGGCATCGAACCTGTTGTTCCAGCGAACTTGTCACGTTGAGCGTGTAATCAAATGAAGAAGTTTTGTAGCGGAGGTGGTCGATGGTATGGTGTTTCAAGGTGGGCGTCGTGGGCCGCTTCTGAAGAACATCTACGAGAGGCGCGGGATATAAGTGTGGTCCGCAAGGACGACGTGGAGGTAGAGCACGCCCTCGCTCCGGAAGATGAACATTAGTACGCACTCAGTATAACGCGGTTCTTTTCATCTGCTCGCACGCCGTGAACGATGGGAAAAGAGAACTTTCCCTCAGTAAGATCTTCCGCAAAGCCTTTGTTATTCGAGTACTAAGTTTTGGGGGAGGCCAAGGGCCACGAGTCAGTTAATGGCGGTCGTAGAGGAAGGGACGAACCTCTGTACTCTGAAGGTTCATATAGTCATCGCGGATCTGGAAGTACACTCCAAAAAGGTTCACCAAAGGCACATAGTCACTTCATCCAGTCAAAAAAGTTGACTCTGAATCGTATAATCAATACGCGATCGGTAACTGAGAGGGCTTACACGTCAACGTTGGTCGTTGCACAAGCCATCATGAGTTTGATGGCAATTCTGAACAAACCACCGGTCTCTAGCACGTAAACTTCAGCATGATGACAGTACGGAAGAGAACTAAATCCTCAACTGTTGTTGACCATGGAGATATACTCTTGCTCCGTCGGGCATTGCAACGAATCCCTCCAAAAGATCTCAAGACCCTGTCCTCGATGAAGTGCAAGCAACTCTTCCGTTACGACGAGGTCCAAGTCCTTGTTTGCCACTACCCTGACTTCGTCGCCCTTGGGGTCATGGTTCCTTAATATCGCCAACTCCTTGTACGCCAAGAAATACACATAGTTGGCAGTATTGATCGTCTGCGGGATACCATATATTCGATGGGCCACTGGTTGACCCCTCCGGAGTTGTGCTCCGTCCTCGATGTCATCCACCATCAAACTAGCGCTATGCAACATTCGCACGACGCGCGATATGACATCGAGTTGCTCGCGAGGAACTGAGAGCCATTTGTTGAAAGCTTCGATGAGTAACGTGCGGATTTCTTTTCCAGGTTTTGAGGTGATGTAGGTGTATGGTTCCAGTATCACCCTCTCAGATGACTCTGGCCAGAAGGCAGGTTCTTGTATAGGAGAGAGTAAGTTGGATATGTCGAGCGGCATGAAGATTTGCTTGAAGGAATACGACTGGATGAAGTTCTAATATATAGTGTTTCAAAGGAGGTATTTACTGCGCCCCCCCGCTGCGGCTGCAGCTATTCCGGTGGAGCTTCGATGAGATGCTAGTGTGACTCAGGAATAACTGGGCTACACGTGAAACTCGCCCGAAAGAAATGCAAGCGACTGCCAGATTCCCCCGGTTAAAGTCAAGTTGTGGGCGATCGCAGAAGAAGATCGGACGCTGTTGTTTTAGTTGTTCATTTTACTATCACCATCAACCCCTGGGAAAGTACGAAGTTACTGATCGACGATCAGCTGAGCACTGGAATTCAATCTATCGTACATGTATGGCTCCTCATGTCCTTGTACATATTCAACAACCCTTCTGAAACGAGTATACTAACCGTTAGTTGGCACCTTAGTGCACGATGACACCTGAGACATCTGCAAACCAAGCATGCTGGTCCTTAGGGGAAGCCCAATCGGGTGTATGACCTGGGATGTAATGCAGTCAGATACGAGTCCATGTAAGACACCCATTCATGGTGTCCACCGATATCCTCACCTCCGAAGAATGTCTGAAAATGCATTCCTTTGATATGCGACTCTTCGTCTACCCGCAATACAAGACCCCTGGCATGAATCACGCAGTCGCCATTGATCCATACTTGCACTTCGCCTCGTATTTGCATAACCTGGATGAGCGTCGCAGCAAAGGAGTTGGAGCTGGCGGGCTCACCATTAGCTTCACCAACCGTGTTGAGTTTGACGCGTTCCGCGATGGTCGTCCAGACTCCAGGCTCATATGTCCACGCACCCTTCCCGACAGAAATACCGTAGTCACTGTTCGTCTTTGAAAAGGGGGGCACCGCAAGGAGTGCACTCTTATTGGTT